GTGAAGTGGCCAAGGGCATTATTGTCATTTTTAGTAATTATTCTCAATTCAGTGCCTCGGTCTTATAGTGAATTTTCAAAACTTGTTGGATCTAATTTAATATAAAGTCACATATATGGTCTTATATATAAATTCTCCCAATAATATAGTTCATAGGCTCAAGAGGTTGGGCTAGGAAGTGGAGGTTGAAATATTATGTATTTTCACATAGAATAATTAGTAATTTTATTTGTATAGGTGTAATTTGTTCTCGTGAGATGAGCTTTGCTAGTTTAAATACAAGGTCTTGAATTTGAGTAAAAAAAAATGTATTTAGGGTAATTACTTCAAATTAAATCTTGTAATACTTGAATATGACCTAAACAAGTAACTATGCAAAAACTTTGTTTATCAATCTTTTTGTTTCATTTTGTCAATAATACTTGAAATTTGATCATTTTACTCTCCGGATTTCAAATATTCACTTGTCATATTATAAATGATTAGTCCTCTTCATCAGGCTCAATCTCATTAATACATTGTCAGTTTTATTTAAAGTAAACTGACTCAAGTTTGACTTAATTATCATTGATCATATTTATATAGCATGCTACATCTTGTATTATAATTAATAAACATTTTATACATGCATGATTTTATGTTGAAAACTATATTAGACATTAAATCGGTTGAGCAGTGGTTCAAAGATTAATAGTTTAATTAACTCAGGACCAAATTGGTTATGATTAAAATAGTACTCCCTTAATTAAAAAATATAAAATATTTTTAATCGAATCTTACCTCATAATAAATTAGTTAACTGTATTCAAACTAGCATTATTTTTTATATTTACCCTTATTTAATATAGTGTTTAATTTACAAATAAGTGTAAAATAATTTATTTATTAATGATATCCTAAAAAACACATTAATTATATTTTGAAAGATTAAAAATGTTTTACATTTTTAATATTAGTCTCTCAAAAAATACCTTATATTTTTTAATTAGGGACTATAATTTAATTAAAAGATATAAAAAATTTATATTTAACTATGAAAAAGTTAATATTGAAATAAAAATTCATTAATTTTCAAGTGAATAGAATGTTCATTCATAAAATTTTATCCATCCATCTATATTTTTAAATTTTGTAAGCGTATTTTATATTCTCAAATCTCAGTGAATGAAACTTACTTGATCAATTAAATTCATTATCACATTTTTATGTGAAATCTGATTGGTTAATTAAATTTATTATCAATTTTCACCTTATTGGTTAATTAAATTCATCATTATCACATTTTTATCTTATTGATCAAATTGGTCAACTAATCAAGATCATTGTCACATTTTTACCTCGTTCCTAATGGCTAATGCTTTGATTATTGGACTTCTTCAATTTTTGATGGGCTATTCACCTCCTTTGGGTTGAATGTCAATTTTCCCTTTTTTTTTTTCCCTTTCTTTGCAAGGTCTGTTTGGTTCGAGGGGAGGGAAGGGGAGGGGAGGGGAGGTGAGGGGAGAGGAGGGAAGGGAAGGGGAGGGGGAGGAGGGGGAAGGGAGGGGAGGGGAGCTCCCCCCCAATTTGGAGGGGAGGCTTTGGAGGGGAGGGGAGTGAAAATTTTAAAAATTTCCCCTCCCCTCCTCCTAACCAAATGAGGGGAGGGGAGGGGAGGGGCTCCCCTCCTCCTAACCAAATGAGGGGAGGGAAGAGGAGCCCCTCCCCTCCCCTCCCCTCCCCTCCCCCCAAACCAAACGGAGCCTAAGAGAATGATATTTTCCAATGTTTAGAAATCTATGGTTCAACATTTTTCATATATTTTAATTTGTCAATGATTCCAAGCTTATTAGTCTAACGCATAAGTCATATAAAATTGTCTTAAGTAAGAAATAAATTATTAAATAATATTACTTACTCTATTCATTTACAAATATAAGATATTTTTTCAGATAGGATATTGAGAATATAAGGGGAGAAGATAAAAATCAAAACTCTTTGAGGATGATAAAATCTGATTCACTCACTCTCATTCCTGTTATAAATATATATTTTTAAGCATACTTTTTATTCCTAATAATAATAACAATAAATTAGAAAAAAATTAATTATATGAATGTCATTCTTCTTTGCTTACAATCTCAATTATGAAATTATAAATTTTCATTGATATGCGCTTTTTTGGCCAAGGATTTATGCTTACTGTATAAATAAGCAGACGCTCCGTTAAATATAATTATTGTTCACCAAGATTTATTCAAATCTAAAATTTATAATTCAGATTAATTTTTTATCTGTCAATACAATTTTTAAAATTTCATCCACTAACCCTTAATAAATATAAAAATATACATTCCTCCATCTAAACATTATATTGTTCCAAAAAAGAAAAATTGAACTGGATAGGTTATAAAAGTTGTTATTAAACTTAAAATTTAAAGTTTATACCATTTATTTTTATAATCGATATTTAAGAAGGTTATATTTTAAAATATAAATATATTTAAAATTTTAAGGGAATGCAAATAAAATTTTCTTTTGGAAGGAAAAGTATATTTAAAAATCGTATTTACAAACATTAAATTATTTGTGGAAAAAATAAAAATCAAAGCTCTTTGAAAATGATAAAATTCGATTACTAATTAATTTGTTCTCTGTAAATACAAATTTTAAAACTTCATCAACTAACCTTTAATAAATTTAAAAAGATATATTCCTCCATTTAAATATCATATTCTCCCTATCTCCCATTATATTTTTCATTGATTTATTAATTTACACATGTTATTAGGAAAAATATTTTTCTATGCTCTATTCTTTTCTTTTTGATAATGTTTCATCATAAAAATTTATTATTTAAAATTGAAAATAATATTTAAATATAATATCAATTATTTCATGACACCCGTGCAATGCAACGCACGGTTTTTTTTTTTTTTTTAAAAGGAGATGATATATCATACCACTAAAAAGAAAGCAACGCTACAGCAGCAATAAACGAACATGAGAAAAAAAGTAACAAAAAACAGGCAACTAAAAAAACAAAACAACCACACCAATTTAAGTTATGGTTAGAGATTCAAAAAAGTTTGAAATAGAGGGAAGGCTATGACATAACTTGGCAAGATAATCTGCCTCTTTGTTGTTCTCCTTGCACAAAAAGTGAATAGAAATATCCCATTTTTTATGCAGTAATCTTCTCATAACATCAGGGGTGTATTAAAAAAGATGGTAATTGTGATTGTCCTTTATGATAGTTAAGATAGTTTGTACACAATCACAAAAAGCTCATTGCTTTATATCTTTTTTGCCAGCATAATTCAAGCCCTTTATAAATACTATAAATTTCAAAAATAGTTGCAAGAACACGTCTTAACTTGTGGCCAAATCCACTAACCTAGACACCATTTCTATCTTTGAGAATTCTTCCACAAGTACCTTGCCCATGCCTTAAAATTGAGCCATTAGCTTTTAATCTAATAGTATTCAAATCAAGCCTATGCGTACACTTTTAAAGGTGTGAACGAGTCACTTAAGGAAGCTGTTGTCCTAACTTAATATCAACAATAACTTTAAAAATAAAATCACATGGTTCCTCTGAGACTATCTCATTTTGCTTCTAGAAGAGAAACGAGCATTTGAACTTCCAAATGTTCTAATAAGTGTAAGCATATGGTGAGTTCCAAGGGACAACTTATGTAGTGGGATTCTTGACTTGCATCTTGATATAAATATCAGAATTTTAAAAACTAAATTAAATTGGTTGGTTCAACCAGTTCAATAATGCTCAGTCACTAGTTCAATTCGATTGATGCAAGTGAACTGTGTTATCAATAAATTAGTCAAGAATCAGCCAATTGGTCAATGGACAAGGAAAATTAGAAAAATCAAACAAGTGATTAGTTCTAGAGGTTCAATGTTAAAAAAGAGATGAAAGTTAACATGAGAGGCTAGAAAAAAGATGAAAAAAGAACAAAAATGAAAGATATTCATAAAAACCCAATAAAAGAATATATTTTACAATAAACCACCACCTTACATGCGTTTTTCTAGCAACGAAAGTGGAGAAAAGAGCTAAATGAGTTAAAAAGTTTTTATAACGAAACTATTTGATCGGCCTAAAATCATCTATTGATGTGTAGAAATTTTCTATTATTTAAATATTAGCTTTATTATTTTGTAATGAATTTATTTTGTGATATATATATGTATGTATATTATTTATAAATATTAAATTAATTATATCCGATTCAACCACGGTTTAACTATTGACCCTTGAACCTATACCTCATCCAATTTAACACTGGTCCAGTTTTTAGAACGTTGATAAATATTAATATTAATGTTAAGTTTCTGACAGCAATAAATAACAAAATATATTAATAATAAAAATTAATGTTTTAAAAACTAGATCGACTAATGAATTGAAAAGATTAGTGGGTTATGAGTCTCCTGGTTCAACCTGTTAGATCAATGATTGAATCGGTGATATAATAATTACATAAAAAATAATATTTATATATATATATATATATATATTAATAAATGGGTCAAAACGGTTTAACTACTTTAAGTTCTAGATTTTTAAAAATTGCCTGAGACAAAGCGGGCCAACTCTGGTCAATTGTTAGAATGGGCCGAATGGTCGAATCAAACTGTTTTCTCCTTCAGGTGATGATTTAACCGTTCGGGTCGGTTCGAGTCTTAAAACAATAATAAAAAAAAATTATGATCAAGAATCATTCAACTAAATTATTTATAAATAAAGACTAATAACAAGTCTCGTTAAAAAAAGTCAGTATCCTTGGATCTAATTCTCTCTTTAAGATATTAATCAACAGATTTTGGTTTGTTTAAGGCTAAATTTAGGAGGAGGAGGGTCCGGTTTGCAAACCGCGTTTAGACTCCAGACAGTACACAGTGATGGTAGAGTATTCCATATTTTATCGCGGGTTCAAACCGCGCCTGCAAATGTTTCGACATCTGCCTACCACCAACCCCCCCCCCCCAAAAAAAAAAAAAGTGTTCCATATTTTCATTTATGACGAGTTCTGTGTAATTTTAAGGAGGCACGAACCTTCTGGGCCTTCTCTTTGTTGGTAACAAAGGCAGCCATCGCTAACAGGGGCTTCAACTAGGGTTCTGGCTGCTCTCTAACAGCTCCACTGCTTTACAAGAAACAGTTCTCACTCTGCTCGTTCATCAGGTAGGCTCGCTTAACTTTGAAGCCAACGTAATTTCTTTTTCGGTCCTAGCTTCTCTCTGTATTCACTTCAATTTGAACTTTCACTTTCTGCTGACTAGCGTATCTATTGCCGAAGGGCTTCTATTCTTCTCCATTCTATTGTTTGCATCTGGCCTTTGCTTCAAACCAACATAAAATTATTTGCACACACAGTTTTTTTTTTTTATTCGCTTGTTGGAACAATTTGTTCGCCTACTCAGTCTGGCTTTGAAAATGAGGTTATAGGGTTCCGCTAATAGCAGGGATGGCAAAAGCTTTTGCGGAAACAGTGAATCCATATGGTCGGAGTGGAGTTCGTATTGTTGTTGCCGGAGACCGCGGCACTGGAAAATCAAGCCTGATCATTACTGCTGCAGCTGAAACTTTTCCACCAAATGTTCCCCCTGTTTTGCCTCCAACGAGGTTGCCGGAAGATCTGTATCCTGATCGCGTACCCATCACAATTATTGATACACCTTCTCGGTATGAATTTTAAAATTTTTATTTTTTGTCTTTCTGTCAGAATTCTTTCTGGTTTCAGAGACAATTCATAATGAGGAAGATCTTCTAATGCAGTCTTCATTGACCTGGGCCAAATAGTTTTTCAGTTATGATATAGAATCTAATCGCTGTAAAACGGCTCTTTTGTTTCGTGGACGTTTCAAATATGTCTACGGCATATAAAAAATTAAAAACATATGCATATGTGATATTAGATACTAACTAGTTATATCTGAACTAAACATATATCTAACTCTACCCTACTGCTGTAAATTTACATATGTATTCAAAAATAGAAGTCCTTGGGGTTTATCTATAATTATGAATTAAATCTTGAATGACTAAAGAGATTAAATCAAGACAAATGATGGAGAATTAAAATAATGGTTTGGAAATGTGAAGTAAGATAAAACTTTCAGATTCTCAAACCACAAAATATAGACTTTGCAGCTTTGCAATACCGTTTAATTAAGGATAAATGTAATTTTCAAGTGGCATCATAAAATGCGGTGATTTTGACTGGTTCAAATATCGTTGATCTTTTTTTCTCTTTTCAAGGGATATAATCTACATCAAATCTATTCCCTTAACTCATGATTATTGTTAATTGTTTGTGGACCAAGTTGATAAGGATATTGTTTTGACTTTATATTTCCGTCTTTCTATTTGCTCTGTGCAAAAATGACAGTGTTTACTTTGGTGTTGCTTAGGGTAATGTGATTGCTTGCTTTGCAATTTGTATGGCTTGATCAATTCAAAGATTTCATCTCTTTGAGCTTATAAAAGATGATGCTTTTTGTTGTTAATTTTGCCAATATCTATCTTCACCAGCATTAAGTTTCTGTTATCATTATTCCAGTGCTGAGGATAGTAATAGAGTTGCTGAAGAATTGAAACAGGCTGATGCGGTTGTACTTACGTATGCATGTGATCGGCCAGAGACACTTGATAGATTGAGTACATTTTGGCTCCCACATCTCCGTAAATTGGAGGTTTTTTTTTTTTTTACTTTTCCTATTTTTCTAAAATATGACATTTGCAAGTGTAGATTTGACTGACTGAATAATGTGATCATAATGAGCAGGTAAAAGTCCCAGTTATAGTGGTTGGTTGTAAGCTTGATTTGAGAGATGATGATCAGCAAGTCAGCTTGGAACAAGTGATGTCACCAATAATGCAACAGTTTCGGGAAATTGAAACGTGTATTGAGTGTTCAGCGCTTAGGCATATCCAGGTAACTACGACTTATGTTTTTGTGAATTATCATCTCATATTGGAATGATATTACTAAGGTGCTAGTAAGTTATTTGTTTAATGCATCATCAATATCACTATTATGTTAGTGAGGTGGAACATTGTTGTTGACATCCAAAATGTTGGTTCTTGAGATGATTGACTAACATGTTCTAACAGGTACCTGAAGTTTTCTACTATGCCCAGAAGGCTGTTCTTCATCCAACCGCTCCATTATTTGATCAAGAATCACAAACTCTAAAGCCTCGATGTGTACGGGCCCTGAAGCGAATTTTTATCCTATGTGACCATGACAGAGATGGTGCCCTTAGTGATGCTGAATTAAATGATTTTCAGGTTTCAGGCTTTAACAATTCTTTTTTAAATATTGGAAGTGGATGCTTGGCTATGATTGAATGTGTTATATTAGGGCACATTAATGCAGCATAAAAAACTATTTTTCTATTGTGTCTTGGTGAGACAATTTGACTGTGAGATTTGTGAAACATCTAACATATTATAAACAGGTTAAATGTTTCAATGCTCCTTTGCAACCATCTGAAATCGTGGGTGTTAAGAAGGTTGTAGAAGAAAAAATAGCTGAAGGTGTCAATGAAAGAGGGCTTACTTTGACGGGATTCCTATTTCTTCATGCCCTTTTTATAGAAAAAGGGCGGCTTGAGACGACGTGGACTGTTCTCAGGAAGTTTGGATATAATGATGATATCAAGCTTGCTGATGAGTTGATTCCACCCTTGAAACTGGCTCCTGATCAGGTATATCTTGTTGCAGTAGATTGTAAGCTGTGCTGTTAGAGATTGATCGTAATAGTGAAAATTTATGTTGTCTGACTTATTAACATCGAATTTTGAATAATCTTTTCCTGATTTTGTGCTTGATGTTCCTTACTTACAAATAACAAGGAAAAATAGACTATTAGATTGAGAAAATGGAATTGTACAACCATTTCACATAGTCCTGTTTAGTTGAATGTAGATTACTTCTGTTTAACTTATGCAGATAAAAGTTGTCTTTTGCAATTTAGACTGATCTGATTTGGCTGGAGATGGAAAATCCCTGATTCTGTAACTACTTCATAATGTGGAAACTTGTATAACAGCAAAAATATGCTGAATTCACTTTTATAACAGCCATAATATGCTGAATTATATATATATATATATATGTTGCCTGACCTACGTTGGCTCGAATGATGTCTGCAGAGTGTGGAGCTGACAACTGAGGCAATTGATTTTTTGAAGGGGATCTTTGATGCATTTGATGGGGATGGCGTATGTCAATTGTGCACACAATCTTGAATAATTCTTTTCCTATCCATTTATTTTGTTGCTATCTACTTGTCAACTGGTCATGAATCTTCTTTTAAGTTTTACTTTGATGTGGTATTTACTGGTGGTGGTGTACCTAACTATGCTCAAAATTTGACCATCACCTTTTGTCCTGTAGGATGGGGTGCTTAGGCCTCGAGAAATTGAAGAATTATTTTCAACTGCCCCAGAAAGGTGATTTCGTTTTCTCTTACATGCACAATCGAATATTCACTTTTGTGGTGATAATTAACGTCATTCCCCTTAGTTGAACTTCATTCCATTGTATAACTATTTCTCTATACTGATTTATCTGCCTTTGGCAGGTTTTTGGTCTCATGGTGTCTCAATATATAAACTTTGAACCTAAATATTGGGAATTGATCTTTGTAGAGTAACATGGCTCTAAGTTGCAATGAAAATGCACCGAATTGAAATGTGGCATAGGTGGTCACCAGACCTATTGCTATGGCATTAAAGCAGTTACAATTGTGGTTGTGAAATTTTTGCCTTGTTGATAGTTATTTGAAGGTTTGAGAGTCCTGTATACCCTTTTCCCCTCATGACAATAATGGATTTATCCACTTATGACACGCTAGATTGTATGATCAAATTTTGTGTTACCATCAATAATTCATAAGGATTCACGACAGAGATGTTCATGTTATCTACTTTGTGCTTGGCTTAAAACATTAACTTGAAAAATGAAGATGGATTTATCCAATTAGGACACGCTAGATTGTATGATCAAATTTTGTGTTGATGTTACCATCAATAATTCATATGGATTCACGACAAAGATGTTCATGTTATCTACTTTGTGCTTGGCTTAAACCATTAACTTGAAAACAAAAAATAGAAAAGTGAGAAAGATTGGGCATTATAAGAGGAAAATAAGGGAGCTGGAAAGGAAAGAAGTGGCTGCAGTTATATAAAATATTACATGATAATTATTAAATCCTGTTTGCAGTTCCATTTTTCGTTGGTTTACTATGCTAAATTTCAATGTAACAGTGGGTATAGTCAGAAGCACCTTTGGCGCTATTCGTTAGCTTTTTTAACTTTGCTAGCCTCTTTTAATCCATTTTCTCTAATGTGCATAACCGTGGATTTTGAGATGCACAATGATGGCATTTTAGGGAAAAAAATAAAGATCCATTGATGGTGAACTGCTTATCGGGGCTTATTATGTGGTGGCATTCTTTTAGTGCTTATTTGACTAATGTTGCGTGATGCTATGATGTGATTCTATGATGCTTATGCTAATTTAAGCATAGGTAGAATTGTAGAAGGAAGTATTTGTTTCCTGATGCTTTAAATTGAACTTGGGCTGGGTGATGTTTTGTCATATGTTCCTCTGTATTTGTGTTCCCCTTGAACTTATGCTTGTTAATTGCCATAAGTACTTGGTTGTTTACTGTGTTAACTCTTCAATATGTGTATGCCTTTTGTGAATCCAAATCCAAATATCAAATAATGACTCCTGCAATGTTGCTTGCTTAATTTATTTTGCTTTTTCCCCCTGTTGGGGGATATTGTAGTCCTTGGATTGGAACACCATATGAGGACGCAGCAGAGAAAAATGCATTTGGAGGGCTGCCACTTGATGCATTTTTGTCACAGGTGTGCAAATCTCTCATTTTATCTGAAATTCCCCCCTTGTCTTTCCAATTGCCAAATAACTCTCAGCTGGTCTGAGAAACTAGGTTCATCACTTCTTACAATTGAAACTGATACAAAGGAATCAAAATCTATACAGCTGTATATGATATAAAAACTTGGTTAAGCCACACTATGTTTGAGCCATGAACCATGTGACTCATGTCTTAGACCCTGTGTGATGTGCAAGACCTATGAATAGTGACTTATTTCTCAGACTGTGTGTGATGTATAGGGCCCACATTAGTCGCTATAAATTTTTCTCCACGTTTATATGCGTGTTTTTATTTTAAATATTATTATCTAGTTACTGTACCTTTTGAGCACAGGTTATTTTATTTCCACCATTTTTATTGGAGTTTTCTTTTTCTTTCTTTGTTTTTTTTGGGACAGTGGGCACTTATGACACGTTTGAACCCGAGATTTAGTGTTGAGAATTTGATATATATTGGCTACTCTGGTGATCCGTCATCTGCTATTCGTTTGACAAAGAAGCGGCGCCATGATCGCAAGAAGCAGAAGTCAGAAAGAAACGTTTTGCAGTGCTTTGTTTTTGGGCCTAGGAAGGCTGGAAAATCTGCTCTATTGAATTCTTTTATTGGAAGGTATTTTTATTCTAAATGCTACTCACATGAACTTTAATAATTGAGCATATTATAAGCTTACTGTTGCTGAATTGATAATGCAGGCCATGTTCTGACAGTTATAATCCAACTACTGAGGATCGTTATGCAGTGAATGTTGTTGACACTTCCATGGTAAATGGCATCTCTTTCTCTCGTGCAAATTGTCCTTTAAATTCCCAGCTCATTCTAGCACTCAAATAATGCACTTGTGGTTGTGGCACCATAAATTATTTATATTTCCAATTCGTTTCTAGATTAGTAGTTGATGATTTGCCTTTGATTAAGATCTTTCTAGAAATAGATATGTTGCAAATGATTGTGACAATTTGCTGTTTAATTGTGATGCTTTGTAAATATTGTTTTGTCATGAAGAGGTCAGTTTTATAAGTAGGTTAGTTAATCTTTATAGTTCCAATTTGTTTCTGGAGAAGGTTTGGATTTGTTGCTTGTGGTTGTCAATTCTCGATATGTATCATGGATAAGAAGACATATTTCCATGTCTTGAATAGTAAAATGCATTGAATCGAGTGGTGAAAAATAGTATGAAATATAAAATGGGACATGTAAATCCCTGTAACATGGATAAAATAGTCAATGGTAAATTTAACTCAAATTGAGAGAATTGCTTAAAAACAAGTCACAAAAAGCTTATTAGTTGTATAATTCATTAGTAATTGATTAATCCTTGAAACATTCTCGGTAATATTCTTTGCATTCATTATAAAAGGCGTATGCAATTCTTAACAGCACAATGCTGTCATGCCAAAGTATTGTATTCACAAATTTCTATGTCGTGGCATGTTATTTGGACATCTTAGCTGTGAATCACACTGGCTTGTTGCAAATCATAAGATTTGATTGGTGGATCATACAATTGATTACATTACTTTTGATTCAACCACTGATTTAAATTGTTGGCTTTGTGATTTCTTATGAATTATAAGATTTGAATAGTAAATATTAAAATTTTGATTGTGTGCTATTGATATCGCTCTTAAAGTAATTCTTCAGGCAAATGATTGAGGCCGTTTGCTTGTGAAGTCTGACACCCTTGAAAGCGATAACTTATGCATGTTAAGGAGTTCTATGGTTTACCATTTATGCAATGTTGCTAAGGAGGTTTTTGTTGAGTAATTCTATGGTCTTCATTCGGTGCTCATTGTTTTTGTTGGATTATCTGTTTGTTTATTGGTATTTACGCATCTATGTTAAGATTATTTGGACGCAGTTATTTTTAGGACATCAATGGAATAATGGATTTATATTCTTGCCTTGGAAATTTGATTTCTCGTCTTCTCTTGTTCTAGACCATACTTTTGTTTGCATTTTTGCCCATGCATTTGAATCATTTCAGCCTTCTCTAATTGTGTGTTTATTATAATGTTTGCAGGGGAACAAAAAATATCTTATATTGAGAGAGATTCCTGAAGATGGGGTTCGAAAGCTGTTGGCCAACAAGGAGTCTTTGGCTGCTTGTGACATAGCTGTTTTTGTCCATGATAGGTGACCATTGACATGATAGATAATTATATTACTAATATGACTAATAGTTGGCCAATGTCGTGTTTTTTCCTCAAATGACTCTGCACTAAATATGTTTTGATACTTTCGTCTGCATTAATTAGTGTACTATTGTACAATTTATTTTCAATCAATCTCTAGAAACATGGCTGTCAGCTGCCATTTCGTTCCATAGTTTCTAATATATATATATTTTTTTACTTCTCTAGTCTGTTTGGATTTTTAAATTATTTTTTTCCAACAATTTAAACACTTTTCAGGTAAAATTAGAATGAATTGTGTATTTAATTGAGCTTTGCTCGAACAGCTCCTAAATAAGCAAATTTTTCTCAGCATTTTAACTACGTTGAAATTATGCTCAATGGTGACCATCTGGTCTAGGCCGTTCTGCTACTTGAGAATTTCTTTTTATAGACGGTAATGCTGACCTAAGTTTCATTCCAGGTCTGATGAGTCCTCATGGAAGACAGCATCTGATCTCCTCGTAGATATTGCTGGTCATGGTGAGGATACTGGCTTCGAGGTGCCTTGCCTCATTGTTGCTGCCAAGGACGATCTGGATTCATTTTCAATGGCCATACAAGAGTCAACTAGGGTATGTTCAAATGGTTTGACTTTTTTTCATGGTTGTGTACATAATTGAGCATGCTCAAATGTTTGTTATTGTAAAATGGATACGGATCAATTTAAGATGGCTAATACACTGTTCTGAGTCTAAGCTTTCATCGCAGGTGTTTAGTTTATTCGTCTTCCAATGGGAGATAAGGATATTGGTGTTGGGAGTCTGATTCCTAGACCTGTAAACAACGTGCTAGTTTTTATTTATTTTATATTCGATATTTAGTGATATTTTGCAAGGAGGGTGACTTACACAGATGAAATATAGCTAGGGTCAATAATCTTTGCTATTTAGAATTAATATTTCCCCAATATATACTTGTAATTTGCTAGCTGCTGTGATCGTTTCAATCAATATCTCTTTCTTGGATCAATTGCAATTGCATTATTGACTTGTTTTTGTTTGTTTTTGTGCTTTATAGGTTAGTCAGGATATGGGAGTAGAGGCTCCCATACCAATCAGTGTAAAGTTAGGTGATTTCAACAATGTGTTTCGCCGAATTGTAATTGCTGCAGAGCACCCTCATTTAAGCATTCCTGAAACTGATGCTGGGAGAAGTCGCAAGCAGTACCACCGCCTTATGAATCGTTCTCTTGTGTTTGTTTCTGGTACGTTTGGATCATTTACTCAGTACATCTTGTTTCTTGGGTTGTTTGATCTGGAGTACAAATTAAAGGGAATCTAATTTTTCTAGGTATTTTAGCTTTGTATTTCGTCCGTTCCAAATTGTAGGACAATTTGAGACAAGATTATGTATACCGATAAAGCTCAATAATGACACTTCACAAATTTATTTTTTCAAAACAAAACTATAAACTTTCAAAAATATCCTTTCACACTTAATCATCACACAATAATATCATTTCAATTCTCTCTTGACTTAAAAGGTAGTATTGGAAAAGTGTTATTAATGAAATCTTGATTTTCTCAAATTGTTTTATATTTTGGGACAACAAAATATCTGTAAAACTATCTTATAATTTGGAATAAAGGGAGTAGTTCATTTCTACCTGGGTTCTGCCTCAAAATAATTGGGCATTCTGTTCAGAATTTTGCTTCATAAAGAAGAGCTTTTGCTTTATGCTTATGGTGTTCTGCTTTTGGTATTCATCACACATACACATTTGATATCTCAAAATTGCAGTGGGAGCTGCAGTTGTCGTCGTTGGGCTGGCGGCATATCGCGTCTATTCCGCTAGGAAGAATGCATCTGGTTAAAGATGAAGTTTTAGCGAACTAGCCAATTCAATTAGGTCGACCTTCATCCTGATGTTCTTGGCAACCTTAGCCAGATCCCTTGCAGATTTTTTTTTTTTTTTCCTTTTTGCATTTTGCTTATTCTGATTTCATAGTTTTTTTGGGGTTGATTTTGATTCTTCAGGTTTAGGTTGCAGTTAGCAAAATTATACGTTCAATCTTCTGTCTTGTTTTTCTTTTTCTTTCTTTTGGCTATTTTTAGGCTCTCATATCATGCAAGTAATAATTACACGGTTGAGCTGTGTTGTCAGTTACTAGAGAATATAAAACTTCCTCCGTGCCTAAAATCCCTGCCTGCAAAAGCATTTTTATTTCTCTTTCAACTGGGAGCATCTCTAATTGGTGAGTTTCATGTCAGGGCATATGAAGAAGCAAAGGAAATAATAGTATTGCTTTTTGATTTTTCCTTTTTGAATGTGAGCAAAATTGAATATGATTTAGGAGTCACGTCACAGTACTATTTATACAATTTTCTGGCTTGATGATATGACACTTCGAAGTCGAAAAAAAATTTCTGTGAAGAGAATGGAACGTTGATATGACTTAGGGTAAATTATTTGATGTCCAGAATTCACCCCAATTTTTAGTCTATTACTCTGTTTCATTTCTGTGGAACTGATTTTAATTTGTTAGAATTGAATTAGGGGAAAAAAAATTGTGGGGGAGCTAAATTACTAATGTAACATCCTCCTCTACGAAGTCTCTTTGAATATATATTTTTTATTTGTTTGAGCTTAATGGTATAATACGATGATAATGTAAGATAGTTTGGGCTTCAAGAAAATCATGACATCTTAATTTTTGTAACTTTATTAATATTAGAAAGAATTTATTTTATGATGATTTGAATTTATTTTGTAATTGTTTGAGTAAGTAGAATTTACTTAAAATGAAATAAATTTTGAGGATTTAATTTTAAAACATATTTTGGAGGAAGGATAAAATTATAAGAGTGAGTGAGATTAAATAAATGAGATTTTAAATTTTTCTAAAAATTATATTTATTTAAATATTATTTAAATTATGTTGAAACTAAATATATTTCAAATCTAATTTGTTTTCTTCCAAAAAGATCTTAAATTAATAGTAAATAAATTATACTTCGGAATAATTACCAAAAAAATTACACTTGGAAGTTAAAAGTATCTATTAAAAAATCTGATATATATATATATATATAATGTGAAAATAAAAAGAGGAAAAATTGATACAAGGAATAAAAAGAAAGATGAGGAAAATAAATTAAAAGACTGATAAAGTAAGAATTCAAAAAAATAAAAATAAAATTAACTAACTAATTAATTAAGATGGGCACGTGGCGTTCCACTCGTTGGATTCAAGGGCATAAATATGCCCTCGAATCAGCCTCGGAGAGGACGCATCCGCATTTCTTTATGCGGGGGACATTGTGAGAGAAGCAGGGCGCGCCCGCGAGAGCAGGAGAATAAAATTTTTAGAGAAGCCATGTCAGATATTTCAAGAGTAGTTTGATGTTTTTGAGGCCAGGTAAGTGTCCTGTAATTTTATTCTATCTAAGATTATTAAATTTAGGTTGATTTAATTGGAGAGAGATTTTAGAGATTGGATAGATTATAGAGTTGTTGAGTAGTACCTCTAAAACTGTTTCAAGATAATAGAAAATAGATTTAGGGAATTTTAGACAACTTTAAATAACTTTGAGAGCTATTGAAATTATTTTAGAACTGTTTAGATCAACTATTATAAATTAAAAGTAAATCTAGGAAATAAATTATAATTAAATGGGATTTATTTTAAATTATTTAGGGATGAAACTTTAAATTCTTATATGGTTGGGACATATAAAACTTGCTTGCGAGCACTTTAAAATTAAAAAACTAATGATTAATATAATTTAGAGTTATTTTGAAAAAACTTTGGGATAAATTGAGAAGCTCTAATGTTAAAAATATATAAAATAAAATAAATAGAGTTCAACGAGAGTAATTTTAAAGTTAAATATAGCTTCAATGAGTATTTTAGAATAACTTAAGAGTAATAAATAATTAAATATAAATTTTATATGATTCTAATTCTTTAAATTATTGTTTGTCGAGGTGTTAGTAGTTTTTAAATGCCTCCTTAATTTTGCTTTGATGTTTGAGTTAGCTAGAAAATTTTTTATAAAGAGACCTCTAGTTCTGAGTAAAATTGAGCCTAAATAACTTCTTTTAAATTATTCTGTATATATGTGTTGGTAGATAACTATAAATTTTATAATATTCACATGAAATTACATCTAATAAAGCATGTCTATTATAACGTATTGTGAAAACTCGGTCTAGTAAAGAATAAAAAGAAATTGAGAGTTTATATTGTGTAGTGAGACACTTAGGAATGCTATGTTGCTTGTATGAAACTTTAAAATTGGATAAATGTTGATTGATTTGATTGATTGTATAATTTAACTATGATGATGATGTAAATATGACGTATGATGTAAAATTTAATTATGATGTGAGGACTCAATTATAACTGTTTTGGATGAAAGTTCATGGTCATTGAATATTATTGAATTATTATGTGATAAATGAAACTATAATCAACTTCGTAATGTATTGGAATTGTTCTATTTATGAGATGGCTGTTGGTTATGAGATAAAATAGAGGAAATAAGGTAAGATCATGATTATATGTTTTCCCCCATGTGGCACATACAAAGTGGCCTTATTATGTGAATGAGGTACCTAGTTCCTTTGACTAGGGTTGAGATAGGCTTGGTATCTTTTTAGGCACTTTATTTGGTTGAAGGGGAAAGCTAAGGTTTGATATGGAGTAATGAAGCCTTTGGCCAGGCACCGACTCCTTTCGCCTGAAACTTCAACTTGAGAAAATAAGGAAGAGATAAGGTAGAACTTAATACAAAATAAAAATGGATTTTTAATCTATTAATAGTGTCTTTCAAATAGTTTATACTTTTTAACTGTAATATTAGTTTGATATCATTGATGTTCTATGAATATTATATACTTGAATTATTGGACAAGGTTGATGGACTCTCGTGTCTTTTATCTAGGTTCTTGTGTTGTATGAATGAAACTTTCTAGCATACTTGTGTTACATGTGAGATGGTTATATATTAGATAAAACTTTTTTAAGCATGCTAGCTAGTAGGAATTGTTGTATTGAATTTTTATACACTTGAAATTTCTTTGTGATGATTATTAGTGTGAAGTGAAATGTTTGTGAAAATTCAATAGATCCGATCATCTACTAATTATGAATATATCATAACCTTTAAGAAGTTATTGAGACATTATCTCACTCCTTTCTTAATTGCTACAAGAATTAATAGTAGAGTTTAGGGAAGGGAACATACTTAGGGAGTACCAACTTTGTGAGAAGTATGGCTTGAGAGGAAGAAGCCTGCTGCTATAGCTAAGGCCACCTGACTTGGGCATTTTATTTATTTAATTGATATTTCTTTCCATATTGGTGGGTCCAAGTTGAGGGGATTTGACCGAGGCATTAATGTATATTTTTATTTATTTGTTTCAATTTATCATTTATTTGAGTTATAATTGTGCAGAGTTATTCCTTTTCTATTGTGGTGGACTGCAGAAAAGAGTTTATTCCTTTCCTACCATAATACATATGGACAGTAAATTAATTATAAATTTATTATGAGTTTAATATTTTTAACTTTTTTCTGCTATGGTATCTTTGAATGTTATGTTAAAACTTTTTCTACCATAATAGGTAGGGGCTTATGTTAGTTAATTAGGCATGTTCTAAATGTTATGGTAAAAATAAAAGTAGTGTTTTTTTTTTTTTTAGCATGATAGATAGATTATCTCTTTTTTACTACGGTAGGTAAATCTTTTACTATCATGGTAGGATATAGTTAAGTGTAAATTTTGGGTTGGGATTGTTTCATCTAACCTATTGGAAAATCAAATCTAATCGGCTTCCTCATTGCTTCAAGCTAGTTAAACAACCAGAACCACCCGATCCTTTCAAAAGCTTTGAGCAGTTGAATTTTTCTCAACCTTCTACCTCACCTTGCATGATAACAAAATGAAGATGCAGCAAGCATGTATTGTCCATGTGCACTGTTATGGCTTATTTCTGTTTCTAGGTTTTATAAACAAGTAAATCACTTTGCACTGGGTAATTTAATTCACTTTGCCTCATAGACGTGATTTCTTCGGAGTATGTGTGATATAAGTTTTATTTCATTAGGTGTCATGCAATTCCACATCATTGTATTATATTCTATCAATGATATCTATATAAAATGCTATGTATAGTACTGGCACTCTTAATAAGAGTTTAAGAATTAAAATAGTGCGGATTTGCAGCTACTACCTACCTCTGCTGAGTTTATTTTTCACCTCTCCTGCCAATGGTGGAATGCCGAGTCTGAAATTCTTGAACTGTTACTTGATCAAGCTTCTCACAGTACTTGCAGAAGACTTGGGTGGTAACGAAGAGCCTAAAATCCAGATTGAACAAGAACTCCAACTCCATTCTGTTCATCTCTGCCGTGCTAACTCCTCCTACCCTGGCATAGTGCCCATTGCTGTAACACCTGCAATATATATATATATATATATATATATTTTCAAAGAATTACACCACCGCATTACCATCTATCTTCTTCTCCTGCTTCTGCAATATATTCAGTGCTTACCCATCATCTACAAATTTTGCTGCCACCATGACACTTGTGATCAGGAGGCGATGGACATTGAAGGACGTGAGATAGCCACCCTTTCGTTGAAAATATCTGTCCATGTATATTTGCGCAATCACAAAACAACAAGTGCTGCACCCTGAGTACTTGTAAATGCGCTCCATATACTGTCTAACGCTCATGTTCGGTGCTTTCGTCCCATCAAACATGGTGACAGGGTCCCTCCTCTTTGCTGATCTCCTATGCTTCTCATTCCTCTGAATCGATCTCTCCAAAACACACGACAATTTCATCAGAACTCGGGGAGCGTTTGAGCTGCAAGAACTTTCAGAGGCATCCAATTCTAGTGATTTATAAGCCTCAGGTTTTGTAGCCATGCCTCTGAAGTTGAACGCTATTGTATTTTTGCTCCTTATTGACTCCACGCGGCTTAATCACAGTATTTGCTTCTGGGGGCTGTTTCCAGAGAACAGTTTATAAATAAAAACTTGGGCGTTTCTGCTGTGCTGTTGACAGATGATAATAGCAAGAAATCTGAAAATACTGATTTTTCTAAAAGGATCATTCTTTTCTTTCAATTTCAGATACTCATACAACTTACCAAAGAATATGCATGTTTCCTTTCAAATCAAAGCTTTCCTATCTGTTTGGGCCATCTGGGCAAAACAAGCAGATCTTTCCTTCAAGGACAAAAGAATTCTGTGGGTGGGTTACAAATTGGCCCACCGAATATGTTAGTGGGGAATGAGAAATATGAGAGCCAGGCTTTGATAAAAATATCAGGAATTCAAGAATATAAGGACAAGCTCGGACCCCAAGCTAGTCTCTCACGTTTCACGACATTCAAATTCTTCAGTGGTATATTGGGAAAGACAATTAATTTTTATTTTTTGGGGGGGGTAATAAACTGAACAATTCATCAAAACAGATAAAACAATACAGACAGCGAACACCACAACACAGCATATTAGGAAAGACAGGATTATAAAATTTAGAAAAACAGATAAATAAATAAAAGCATCAGAAAATCTATTTTTAAGACATGTCGGGGATATAAATGTGATTCAGCGAACCCGCTTCTTCGGGTGTTTTACAAATTTGCAATTTCAGCCATTTGAAGCAAAAGTGCAAGTGGGTTGCCATGAATTTGATCAGAGAATAGGCATTATTTACACCGATTTCCTTGCGTGAAAATCACCCTTCATCATCAGTATTGAAAATAAAAAATGTTTGCTATCCGGATTATTACATAGATATTGACTAAAGATGCTTTTCTAGAAGGGGATTGTGTAGCGGATTAGTTAGTCAGTTACGCATTAAAATTGGATGTTATGTAGCACGTCTTGTTTAGTTCGTATTCCTCAATTGATGAGAGACGTACCCTCTTCTTCAATAATTAATTAGTTCGATGCTGGACAACGGTAGCTCAAGATTTCAACATCCAATATTATTGTCAATATCTATAAATCCATAAATGTTATCCAATTTTTTTTCCCATATAACATCCAATATCTTAATATTACTTCACATCGAGTTAAGAGGACTTTATATGAAGCTCAAACTAATTTAGATTGAGCCTAATTTAAATTTTTTGATGTCAAAGTTCTAACATAGATATTGTTTCTTGACTCAAAACCTTTAAAACCTTATTAATTAAGGCAAGTTTTTAGGGTTACCTTATTTTAATTTAATTGAATGACATGCCATTTGAAAAATTAAATGCCCATACAATCAAATATATGAAAAATCAATTAACAATTACTTTCATAATAACATTTTTCTTTTTTTTTTAATTAGGATAATGATAAGCTAAAAATGGCAAGCAACCAAATGAGGTCCAATCATCCCAATCAAATTCATGCATCTATGCGAGCGACAGCAAAATGATACCTAGGTGCACCCCACACGCAAATCCTCCATTTCCATTTCATCGAGTATAAATCAAATTAATGTCATTCATTAACTTTCACAAAAATAGTGAGACGCTACCTCACACCAATCCAAACCAAATGGCTTCTAAGTCCTCCCTCTGTCGTTTGTCTTTCCAACAAAAAACTTTCGTCTTTTGTCTCTTGCTTGTCTCTCTCCCGCTGCTGCTCTACACGCCTCCATTGAAATCCCAAAGAGTATTGCTTCAGGTTCAGGAACAGAACACCGGACTTGCTTGGTTTGATGCCATAGCAAGAGATATTTATACCAAAAAGATCAAGGTAGGTCTGGTTAACATAGACGAAGCAGAACACGATACTCTGTCCGAGCAATTGTACAAATCATACCCACAAGTATTACCGACGGTATCTGTCAAATTCGATCGTGTTGACAAGAATCTGAAATGGCAAGATTTTTTTCCCGAGTGGATCGACGAAGATCACAAATGGGGCGACCCAAAGTGCCCAAACATGCCTATGCCGACGTTGGAAAATTACCAGGATGTGAACGTGGTGGTGGCCAGAGTTCCATGCGGGAATAGTAACAGAACAGAGAAGAGAGGCGTGAGGGACTTGTTTAGGTTACAAGTGAATTTGGTAGTGGCTAATTTGGCAGTGGAGGGTGGGTGGATGAAGCTGGAAGGAGATAATCGGAGACAAGTGTATGTTGTGCTCATAGGAAATTGTGGTCCCATGATTGAGATTTTCAGATGTGATGATCTTTTGATGCATCAAGGTGAGTATTGGGTATACAAGCCTGAGTTAACAAGGCTTAAGCAGAAAATTCTCATGCCTCCCGGATCATGTCAGATTGCTCCTGCTTATGCCCAAACGGGTATGTTTTAGATCCATTGTACAAGTTCTCATGCTATCTTGCTTTTCCAAACTCATTTATCAGCATTTAAAGCCAATATCGTGACCATTAAGGAAGGTCATAATATGGCCCTGATTTCTTAATATCTCGTCATTATGAGGCAATAATGATTAAAGATTCGGTAATTGGAGACTTCATGCTATTTCCGGTAATGCTTGACAGGCAAAGAGGTGTGGAGAGCTTATTTGTCAGAATTGAAGGTATTGAAGCACGACCCGAGGCCAAAATTGGCCTATGTCACGATGCTCCACACTTCAGAAGCCTACGTGTGTGGAGCAATTGCTTTAGCCCAAAGCATTCTCCAAACCCCAGTGAGCGTCATTCAGTTCTACAACTACACCAGGGACCTCATCCTCCTCGCAGACAATTCAATCAGTCCCATGTCCATCAAAGGACTTGAAGCCGCGGGATGGAAGATCAAGCGCATTCAACGCATCCCGAATCCCTTTGCCAAGAAAGGTTCCTATAATGAGTGGAACTACAGTAAGCTCAGGATATGGCAGCTCACTGACTATGACAAGATCATCTTCATAGATTCTGACTTTCTGGTACTGAAAAACATGGACGATTTCTTCGTCTACCCTCAGCTATCAGCCGCACCTAATGACTGCACGTTCTTCAACTCTGGCTTGATGATCATAGAGCCATCCCAGTGCATGTTTGAGGAATTAATGAGGAGAGTTTGGCGACTAGACTCGTATAATAAAGGTGACCAAGGCTTTCTGAACGAGGTGTTCACGTGGTGGCACAGGTTGCCGTGGAGGCTAAATCGTTTGAAGGATTCCAGGGAGATAGAAGAAGATGAATTGTATGGGATGCATTATTTGGGGGTGAAGCCATGGATGTGTTACAAGGATTATGATTGCAATTGGGACGTGGAGGATCGTCGCGTGTTTGCGAGTGACTCGGCTCACCAGTTGTGGTGGGACGTGTACGAGGAAATGCCACGAGGGCTGCAATCATACTGTGGGCTTAGCCAGAGAATGGAGGAAAGGATACTGAGGTGGAGAAGAGAAGCTAGAAATGCCAATTTCTCCGACATGCATTGGAACATTGAGATCAGGGATCCTAGAACCAGATTAGGAAAGCTCCAAGTTGTATGAGATGCATCGCAATTAATAATTATCGTTGGACTAGCCATTCAATCCAATCCAATCCATCCATTATCATCATCATCATCATCGAATCTCCAATTTTCCATTCAAATTATGAATCATAGTAATTACATTTCAATCATCGATGAATTTGTTGAGTGCTAATTTGAACATATTAATTGGCTTGCTCGCGTGGCTTTGGATATCTCTCCGGCTACATGTTTTTTTTTTTTTTGGCTTGGACAATCTTAATAAAATAAATTGGTCCATTAGGCTAAAAAAAAAATAATCTTATGCGCAGAAACTATAGATCAAATTTTTGAAAATTAAAAAAAAAAGTTTATCATTAATATATAACAATATATGATTAATAAATATAATAAACCGACTACAATACAAAACATAATAAATGTTATGTTGTTTTCTTAGTTTAATCTCATAATATGTGCTATATTTGTAAAATCCTTATTTTATAACTATTAAATATTTTTAATTAAATTTTTCAACGAAAAACGTAGCTTACTACTAATAGGTCAAGATGCCAATTATTTTTTAATTCTTATATATATATATATATATATTGTGCACGTGTGTCCTTAGTTTTTTTATATCAATTTTAAATTTTTTATTATTGCTATTGAGTGATAAACATTTGAGTTAATGATACTAATCATATCGAAATTTAAATTATTCTGTTGATTTTAAGAGGGGATTATACAACAGCCAACGATATGGCACCTGAGCTGAGCGCATTGATTACTTGCCGTCTCTCTCTCACGCGCTCACTGACTGCTCCATTTGTCCTGCCATGACAGGCTTGCTCCCCATTTTCTCGCTTTTCTTCTCAGGAAGCAAACAGCAGGACCAGGGCATGAAAAAGAAGCTGTTTTAAGAGCAGATCATTCAGCTATGAGGCATCTCTCGTACTTTTAAGACATTCATGATGAAACAAAAAGCACATCGACATAAAATCATCTTTCTTGCACTGCATTATTTAATCCTGGGCACCATTAGCAGTCGCAGCTGGTTTATCTCCAACCAGTACATTCAAAAGAAATTTATTATCAAATATATAAATTCAACTATCTATTTAATAATGAATTTAATTTGACAAACTATAGGCATATTAATGTAAATGAAGTTTGTTGAAGCCAAGCGCAGACACCATCGTAGCTAGGCCAAAAAAAAAAAAAAAGCGCACGCAGGCAGGGCAGGCTGGAAAGGTGCGGGCGGAGAGGAGAGTACGAGACGAGTCTCCCATTTCAAAATACCGTTACGAATGATAACGAATCTCATTTCCTCCAAAGTGGCAGTTATTTGTTCGGACAGCTTTGTGTCTAACAGTGAAAAGCTGCAAGGTCTCCTCTGCGCCACTCCCCCCGCCCGCCTGTGCTTTGTCGCTCCGCTTCTTGGTGCCTCTCCGCTCGTCCGCCACCAAAAGTGTAGGGGACCAACTGCCAACCCCATGCTGAGCTATTGCCATTTTAGTCAGGTTAATCAGCATTTTTGCCTTGTATTTTTTTAAAAAACACCTAATATTTTAATATTTTTATTGAAATAATTTTATTTCTAAATTTATTAAAAAAGAACATTTTTATCATTATTGTTAAATTTTTAACGTTGACATTAAATGTTGACTATTAAAAATTTTAATAAAAATGATAAAAATATCCCGATTTAATAACTTTAAGAATAAAATTACTTCAATAAAAATGTTAGAATACTCATCTAAAAAGATATTTCAAGGATAAAAATAAACATTTATCTTTTTCGGTGTTAATGTTTCAATCCCTTCTTTTCTTTGCCTTTTTTTTTTTACTACCTTTTTGTGTTTTTTATTTAATCCGGAAATATGATTCCTACAAATTAATGGCCTGGGTCGATTTGAGTTTTAATTCTATGGTATATTTTGTTTTATTATTTTCAAAAGAGCAGATTTTGATTGGTTTTTTTTAGTTCCAATCTTCCTATGTACGAGAGAATTTAAATGATAGGGAACCTGTTTCTTTCCTTCCCTTCTTCGAAATATTCTGATTTTTCTACCTAAAATAAATGCCAGTTTCTCAATCAAATACCCATTTGAAAAGGACATGATTTTCAAATTTATTTATTATTATTTTAAAATATCCGGATAAACGAGACCTAGAGTAATGACTCAACGACGCATGATGTTCGTGATCTTCTTGATATATCAGATAAACAGATGGTTTTAGGCATGTCCATGCGTAATGAGGGAGATTTATTCAATGGAGTCAAAATATAACAACTAAAATATATTTTTAATTCTTTAACTTTATACGAAGTTTTATATTAGTCTTTTAATTTTATAAAGCATATTTTTAATCTTCCAATCCTAACACTGTTAGTTTCATCACAAGAAAATTTTATACTGTACTTTTAAATATTAACAAAATATTTTTAAATGCTAACTGATTAAGTTTAATTTTTTTAAAAAAATAATAATAATCTGCACAAAAATAATTATTTGAGATTAATAATGTTAGGATTAAAGTATTAAAAATATATTTTATAAAATTAAATGACTAATACTTTATATAAAGTTAGAGAATTAAAAATATATTTTAACTCAATATAATAATAAAAATTGACTTGATATAACTTATCTTTTCAATATAGGCAAAGTCCTTTCAGAATGGCTACAAAGTCGACTACTATGTTATGATAGTATTTAAGGGCCTGGTGAATGAAACCTTTTTATCTAATTTCTATCTGCACCAGTAAACGAGTTCCCCTAAGATTCGTTGTTTTTTTAAATCAATCAAAACCATTGACATTTAATTAACCAATTAGGTTTGGGCAGCCACAGCCTCAAGTGCTACTCTCTTTGTTTTGGAACTATGTTAATCATTTGCCTCCAATTAAAGATTGCCAATTGTGGAGCCATCAATTAGAGCCTGATTGAAAAAAATTCAAGGTCAAGCCACTGTTTTAAAGTATAAAATAACAATTTAGGGTTGAAAAGGCCCTATAATAAAAGGGTAGGTCCTTTTAAGCTCTCTTATATATTTTTTTAAAATTTTAATATTAAAAAGTTAAATACTACATTGATTCTAAAACTTAAGTCTTATATTATGAGGATGAAGAAGGAATATATAAAAAGATTAATATCTTTGTCATTGGTTAGGCTCCATAAGGAGAAGAGTGAAATTATATTAATGTTAATGACAATGAAAATCATCAAGATTCAGTTGATGATGTTGGCAAGTCTGATTGTTATTAGTATTGATTTTGTGATTTTGTTTTTTATTAGATTTAAATTTATTGTTGTGTGTATTGACTTAAATTTATGTTTATGGACTTAATATTATGTAAAATAACTTTTTTAAAATTTCAAATATATTTTTTTAGATTTTTGAAATGAAAAATGAAAGAAAATATTAGGCTGACCCTTTAGTCTTGAGGGCCAGGGGCAAGTTGATCAAAATGGGGCTTTGATGTATAATCGGCTTAATAGGGCTAGCTTGTTTAGGCCATGGCCCTTCACAGGTCAGCCCTAATTGACAGTTCTAGCCAATTGTATTTATATTTCCATATGCCACAACATATTTGAGCAATAAAAGTTTATTGAGAAGATATCAACCAATGACTGCTAAAGAAAATTTATATCAATCAAGAATTACTTGTTATCAAAACTCAAATAAATACTTATTAATTCAAGTTAGTTTTTTATCAACAAGTATCTATTTAAATTTTAACAATTTATTTTAAGTTAATAACAGTCCATTTGAGCTTTTTTTCATTCAAAATTTAAAAAATGATCCTTAACTAATATAAACTTTCACGGATGATCCTTCATTGCTATTTTCCAAAATTTATTTTATAATAGGGTTCAAGAGAATATGAGATTATAAGCTTTTTTTTTTCTTGCAATGTTTTCCTTCAAGATTTGAAAACAATACAATGTTATTCCTACTATTAACAAAAGTTAACATCAATTATTAATTGATATAAATTTGTTATTAAAATTATAAAAAATGACCCACACAAATTACAAATTTTTAAAACTATTACTGTGGTAAAAATTTGTGTAAACAAAATTTTCTAAATTATTATTCCACATTTTAAAACTATTACTAGTTAAGGTTATAACATACTCCTATACTCTATCTAAATTTTAATGATGGCAGCAACTGAAATTTTTCAAAGAAAGCAGCTAAATTTATTTAGGATAATGAATCCTTTTTTGGAAAAATTAGGAAGAGAAATTTAATGCTGTTAAAATTTATTATAAATGATCAAAAAAATTAAAATTAGGTTGAAAGACCAAGATATGTATAACTGACTATTATAAATTTAATATAAAATCTATTAATAATACCTTAAAATCAATGTGAAGTATTGCATAAGTTGTAAAAAAAATTAATTTACAAATAAAACTGTGCAGATTTCAATTTCACAGAAATAAAAACAAAAATATAATTTAATTAAATCAATATATTTTAAAAAATAATTAATTGAATATAATTTTGAAATCATTACTTTTAAAAAATTAAGTCAATATAATTGAAAAATATTTATTTTTAAAATCATTAATTTTTAAAAATTAAGTCAATATAATTTAAAAATTATTAATTTGAAAATAATTACTTTTAAAAAATTAATTCAATATAAATTTAAATTTATTACTTTTAAAATCATTACTTTTAAAAAATTAAGTCAATATACTTTTTAAAGCATGAGAGATATTTTAGTTGCTTTGATTTTTAGTATTATTTGTTTATTTATCATTGTTGTAACTGTCAAATTTAATTTGAGAGGTGGTTAAAAAAATATAGGAGATTTGAATATGGGCAATTTTATTTTTTAAAATTTATAATTTGGTATTTAAATATTATTTTCTTCAGATCCTTAATAATAATTTTCCCTAATTTGTTTTTTTTTTTTTTTCAACTGTGGGGGGCAATTGCCCCCGTTAGAGTATGCGTGGGAACGTTCACCATGCGCGAGTGAGCACGCGTGAGGGATGAGAGATGATGACACGCATTTGGAGATTCCATACACGAGCGGCAAAACATACCGGTGAGAAAGATGTCAGGAATTATATTAAACCAATCAGAAGATGACATGTCAAAGGTGTCTACTATATCACTACGTGGCAGTACTTTACTGGTTCATACATTTCTAAATACTGGGCTACCTAGCACTCTATATATCCTGGCATCCAACGGGAAATTTGTGCCTTAACAGCCAAATCGGATATCCACACGTAAACAGGGCCGTTTCGCCGAAGATTTACAAGCAATATGTCTCCGAGCATTCCGGCAACCATCAGATGCAAACACGTTCATTCTAATGAATAGTTTGTCAGCCGCATTCTTCCCATGGCACGAATTATAAGTGTCGTGTCACAATAAGAATGGGTAGATTTCAGATGAATGATATAGGTGAACAACAGGTGATATTTTAAGCGCGAGAGAATACAACAGTCAGCAAATGCATAGTAGTTTGCAGAGCACAATTAGTTTTTTTAAATCAGGTTGGAGGATGTTTTTACCCTGCAATTTTCCTCACTAAATATTTGAAAATTCAGCATTGAACATGTTTTTATTAAAAAAGTTAATTTTAACTTTAAATTAACTAAAAAATTATACAAAATATCAGAAATCTTAAAAAAAGACTCATAAAATTACACATAAGTACCCTATAAAAATAATATTAATTAGTTCCCCTAAATTAAGTAATACAAATGTTATTCATTATCTATGTAAAAAGTCAATATACAAATTTGACCTATTATTATTATAGGGACTTGATATGTATTGATTTTTTATATGGCACTTATTTACAATTTTATGGGTTATTTTATGTAATTTTTTCAATCAAAATAGTTAAAATTAACTTTTTAATAATAAAGTACTCAATATACTATTTTTAAATCTTGAATGAAAAAGTTGTACTGCATATGAATGAATAGTTGAAAGATAAAAATATCTTTAATTATTTTTTTATAATAAAAAATTTAGGTGAGTTAGATTTAGAGACTCATCATGATTAGGGAATATTTGAATTATGAGTCAAATCCTTATTAATTAGATCAAATAGAGTATTTTACTATTTTGATTGCTTGTGACTCGTGAAAGCCACATATTAGCTTAATTTAAATATATATATATAGGTATATTTCATTTGAAAATGTTTGAGACGGGGATTATAAAGTTTCTTTACCCTAATTATTAAAGAAGTATGTGCATTTATAAGCTAAATTACATATTACCATATGACACGAATTTCAACTATGTGAAAGCAATTTCATATCTTTCAAAATTTTTGAATCATGAATATAAATAAGATTCTAAAATTTTGAATAATATAATTAAATTAATGGCATACTGTATACAAATTAATAAACATGTTAGTCTGTAATATTTTTGTCGGTCAACAAGTTGTTCATATAAATTTGGAATTAAACATAAGTTGATCATTGTTTGAGAAGAAAATATTATTTAGACAGTTTAAATTTTAACATATCTTTATATAATTTAACTTGTTTTATAATTTAAAATTATAATTTTATAATTTGCAAGGAATCACCTCAACTCAACGCGTGAGGGGTGACGAGAGTGAGAGATGACACACGTTTGGTAATTCGTTAGACAAGCAGCAAGATATAACAACCGGAAAGACACCACAAATTATATCATCCTGCTTCTCATGTGACGGCATGATTCTTGCACTAATCAGGGCATGACAGTTCAAATGGAGCCTAAGCAACTCCACGTGGCATTACTAAATTGGTCAGAACATTGTCAATACTGGACTACGCAGCGCTCCACAACAGGGGATCATCGAACAGCCAACGATCTGGCACGTGAGCGGCAACGCAATGGGCGTTCACAATGATTACTTGCTCCCCCTCCCCCCTTCCAGTCGTCGTGAGTGCAGTGTAAAGCTCTAACTAATCTATTTGCTCTGCCCATAACAGATTTGCTCCCCATTTTCTTTCCTAGAATTTTCTCCCCTTTCTTCTCAGGAATCAAACACCAGGTCATGAAAAAGAAGCTGTTTTGAGAGCAGATTCAGCTATCAGGTCTTTCTCGTGCTTTTGACACCAGAACGATGAAATGAAGAGCCCATCGACATAAAATCATCTTTTTTGCATTATCCAATCCTTGGTTGATTCAAGCTGTAAGCTGATTCTTGTCGAACCATTCGCAGGTTTATCTCAATACTTGATCAACTTCGCCTACCGTTTTCAGGGATGTCAAGTTCCCTGTTACAATACAATGCTTTCATCACTGCTCCCTTTGTTCCGTACATAACAGATTTGCTCCGCATTTTCTTTCCGAGAATACAGGCTTTCTGTTATTCCGGTAGCTTTGGTTCCCGACAGAGATAGTTCTATTAGACATGATTGCAAGCCCAGTGAACTTACGGAGGGAAGGGGGAATTTCGCGTTACTCTTAATTTTCTTTAATCACGAAATTTGTTGTTTCGGACACAATTTAATTTCATGCATCTGCATTTAATATGAGAATCAAATATGGGAGACATTTTACTTGAACTTAGAAGTACTATATTTGCAAATTTCTGCAACAGTTTTCTTGTCCACGCTCTTTTTTGGTGTTCTGTTATCATTCAAGTTGAATACTAAAGCCGTGCATTTCTGCAGTTTATGAAGCAATTGGACGACGGTGCCGCTAAAGCTATGGTTTCTCCCTCCCTCCCTTCCTATACGTGTCATTATCTTGCGTGCATCTATGTTAGAATTATGAATTCGTTTGTTATTTCTCATTCCTCATCTTCCTTTAATAAAAAGTATGCCTTCTTGCCATGTGCAATCAACTTTTTTGCCCTCTCAATTTCGCACTCTTCGTGGCGTGTACAATATTTCACAGTTTTAATGAACCTCCAACATGGAAATCACTTTAATTCGGTTTCTTGTCATGTGTAGCCATATATATCATACAAAGAGAATTGTATTTTTTGGGTGAAAAGATGAAATTGTCACATTGATAATGATATGTTGCAGCCTTGTAGCGCGAGCGCATGTTTTTCATTATTATTGAAATTAAAAATTAATTATTATACTAGTATATAATTTCTAGACAACTGATCATATTACGGCAAAAGAGAAACAGTTAATTGAATGAGATTATGGGATACTTTTGCAGGAAAGATTGTACATGAAAAAGAAGGAACACGGCGACGTCGATGGCACTCACAACCCATGTTTGGACAAACATATTCTGCTATCTCCACTCACCTCTGTACCAATCTGTACCCCAGGTAGGAGCAACACCATGCACCCTCCTTCTTTTCCAATCATCCTCTGATAGTCTTTGATCCACACTTTTTTTTATCCATTTGCTTGCTCTTTCATCTGTTCCCTGATAGCGTAAGCGTATTTGCTGATTCTATTATTGTCCTTTATATTAACCGATTGTCACTTTGTTAAATAACTTCAGGGGCTTGTGAGTTTTTAAAAGTGGGCCGATTTTATGAAATCGATCATTCCAACCTTCCACCTAACCGCCCAGATCATTTAAAGTTTGTCCGTGTTGTCATGGTATGTCTTCTAACCTCACTACCCTTCTTTGTAAATGTTCTGCTATATAAAAATCAAATCTTTACGTCGTTTACTTTTCTTGACGAGTGGGTTCAGCTCAGTGACATGGGCGGTCTTCAAGTGTCGGTTAGGTACCCAAGCATGCAGTCTGTTCGCACGCAGTTCTACGATGCAAACTATGGGAGACAAGATAAAAAGAAGATCCCCGCACTCGACGAAAAGTATGTGATGGAATCAGGTTTTGCTTGTAGTGCGCTATACAGGAGAGTCTCGACGGAGGAGTTAGCAGAAAGAGGAAACTCATGGAGTTTCTGGATTACAACCTCTGAAGAAGATCAAACGGCTAAAAGCACATTATTCATTGATGAGGAAACGGATCTGCAGGTTTCCAAGAAGGGCTCATGCTGGTCTCAGCTCAAATATTCCGGGATGGTTCAGTGGGGCAAGCGTCGACCAGTTCGATTCTTAGCCCAGCATGAGAAGAACAATTCAGAATCTTTATCAGGATCTGTGAAAGACACTGGGTTAGATGCAAAGGAAGAAAATGAGAGAGGGGAAATGACTGATAGAAAGAGAAAGAAATGGGAAGAAAAGGAGTTTAGAAAGGAAGTGTCGAATGAAATCATCAGGACAACTCGTAAAAGTAAGAGAAATCACAATGAATGTAGCGAGGTTCAAAGATTGAAGAAAGCACACCATGGCAGGCAGAATCAACTCGTCGTATACAACAAAAAGAAACATAAAGTTTCAATTGACAGATGGTCTGCCGAGAGGTAATAAATATTTGATTATTAATAAATAATAATTCTGTAAACTTAAAAATGGTGGTTGATCATTCTGAAGCCTCTTTGCAATTATACATTTAGTGGTTGCAATCTATAATAGTACCTTGTTTATTTGAAGGTATAAGTTAGCAGAGGAGAACATGCTAAAAGTGATGAAAGCCAAAGGAGCCGTTTTTGAAAAACCAATATTGAGGCCAGCCTTGAGATCAGAGGCTCGAAAGCTGATCGGTGATACGGGTTTACTAGATCATTTGCTAAAACACATGGCCGGGAAAGTGGCTCCTGGCGGAACTGAGAGATTTCGACGACGACACAATGCTGAGGGAGCGATGGAATACTGGTTGGAGAGTGCTGATCTGGTTAAAATCAGACAGGAAGCAGGTGTTCAAGATCCCTATTGGACTCCGCCCCCCGGATGGAAACCTGGGGATAACCCGTCCCAGGATCCCATTTGTGCGAGAGAACTTCGAGAGATAAAGAAAGAACTGTCGAAACTAAAACAGTAAGCTCTATTTCTCAACATTATTTGATCATTCCATGTTGGTAATAGTACGAGTATGCAGACTTGTTCACTATGTCATAAGTGTATATACTTAAGTTCAACTTTATTCGCAGATATTACTCAAATATTAATATGCCATCTCCTTTGCGTTACAACTAGTGAAATGCAGCAATTAGTATACAAGAAGAGAGAGGAACAATTGGCTATTATGACGACGACTAATTCTTGTTTGTCAAACAATTTCAATTTGGAAAGAGGCGGTTCCTTGTTTACTCTGCAGGTAATATTCATAACGTTAAACCTAAGGCTTGCTGATGTGCTTAGCTCAACATGGAAGGTCTCTATGATTTGTTGACCGTTGTTGTAACTATTTATATAATCGCTTTATCGCAGGAGATGTATAAAGATTTGGTGAATAAGAAGTCTAAAATTGAGGAACAACTGAAGGATATTTCCATGGCTTTGGCCAAGATGGAGGTATAACTAATGTTTAAAGCATACTTTTTTCCCGCCCTCTAAAACTAAATTTGCTTTAATTTCTCAAAATCTCGGTATTAATGGATGGTGCTAGACTGAGCAAGTTTCGAGTCTTGATATTGAAGTTAAATTTTTAATATGCAGTCCTTGTATATTTTTAATTTTTTAATATGAAGTCCCGGTATATATATTGACTGTGTAGTTGATAAGCGGACTAGGGATGAAGGCAAGCTTTGTAAAAATTTTATCTTATCCCATTATGACAATAAAAAGGCCTGTCTACTTTCTCTAACAAATAGTATGTGATTCTACTGGAGGTCTCCAGGGTCAATGCTGCTTATCATAGGATAGAACCTGCCACATATAGTTCACAAAAGTTCGATTTGTATGTTAAATATGCAGTAATTTTTGCTGATGATTGACCTTATTGTAATATAGTCATTTAGTCTCACAGGGAGTGAACATGGTGCAGGAACAGATGATGACGTTAAAATCAAGCGAGGAGCCAACATCTGAATCAGTAATGCTTCCGGCGTTATTGCCATCACCAGCAAGAGTAATGGTTGCAGTGAGAGATGAGGGAGAGACGAAAGAGCAAGAAGGACATAAAAATAATGAAAAGAAAGCAGCAACCGGTGAAGCAGAACGATCAGATGACGATATCCAAAGGATGGCAGAAAGTGGGTGGCAAGCTGCCGAGGATAGGGCAGCGAAAATTGAAAGGTTGAAAAGCGGATTCAGAATTTGCCAGCCTCAGGGGACCTTCATATGGCCAAAGATAGCTATCATGTCGCCTCAGGATGTGGTCCCAACCCCATCCTCTGCTTCCTCTTCATCCTTCCCTGAGCCACCTCCGTGGTCTGAGCCATCCTCCCTTGTTAAGCCACAAGCAGAGAGACGCCCTATAAGCTCTGCTACTTTAACCCATGTCGCCATGTCCTTCCCTCCTTTTCTCTCTCCGCCACCATTGGCAACCCCACCTTCCCAAAAAATCGCCTCTCATAGTCCCCCTCTCATCAACCTCAATGAGGCCCCTCTCAATTGTGACCCCCCCTCCTGTGCCACTCTGCCTTACCAATCATCACTGGCTTCCATGCAACCACGTGTAAGTATCTTATTCTTCCCATCTTAACTCTGCATTTTGTTGTGCTTATCTGATATTATGCCTTTGATAGAGTAGATTTCCTTTTCCTTTGGAAGGAAGAAATTATTTGGCTGCTTAAATACATAATTTTTAATCAGTTGTTAATGCATTCTTCTAAACCTTTACTTGTACATGGAATTCATTAAATTATTTACTTTGCAAGATAAAAATGGTATATAACGACGCTTTTCCTTTTGTCTCTCTTTTTTCCCCATCCTAGAAGTTGTTCCGTTAGTGGACCACAGCTGATTTTTGATAGTCGATCGACATACCTGGGATTATTTACTTAAATTGTGTGCATTTCCTTGTACTTGTGCTTAAATGCCTTCCCCCATGTGGAAATGAGTTGTGTTCTAGAAATGTTGAGTAGATAGGGTTAGCAAAATTATAAAAAATAAACAAAAATTCGTTCTTATATAGATTGTGTTCTTACTTTTGACATGGGGAGGGAAATAGATAAAGGCATAACTTGATATTTTGTTAAATGGGGTTGCTGTTTTTTTGGATAATAAAATACTTAAATAAGTTATCTTAATGTCATGCTATCTTCATTGTAGTGGATGATTATTCTAGCCCCAAAACTCTTAATTACACAATTTGATCTTAAGAAATATACATGCTAAGATTTTAGTGATATACACTTCATTTCTTTTAAAGTTTGTGACTCATTGATGTATTTGAAGGTCAAAGCAGGAGGTTGTACATATTTACCAAATTTTTTCCCTCAAATTTGAATGAATAATGAAAAATAAAGTGGAGGTAACAGGCCCAAATATTCTGATTGGTTTTTACTCGAAACCTGTTGCACCTTGCAGAATCCAGTTGCTACAGAAAAGAAGGCTGGTGTAAAGAAGGAAAAAGAAATGGAAAACTTATCATCCTCCATCTCAGAAAGGAAAGGGTGGTGGAATACAGCCATGGATGGCGCCCTCCCCTGAATTGCTGTTCAGCATAACCTTATCTAGGGTTTCATAAAATATAGACTATATCTTTTTGTATAGCATGCAAGCAAAACGATATATGATAATAGGTGTGTATATCTCCTATTGGTTATTTCAGTAGAAAGAGATTCACCATAATAGTAAGGTGGGCGTCAATATATACATTTAAATGAAATTTATGCTATATTAATCAAGTTCGGTTTCTCCGTTATCGTACCTCTAGTCAGCAGAAAATGTTTAGGAAAAAATCTGAATGGCCAAGTTAGTCGCCTCCTTAGTATATATAGTACTGGGCATAGCCCACCTCTTTATGTTTGGCAGATGATGTTAATATGAGAACAAATAGAGACACTATGCTATCATGTTTCATTTGGACGGGGCTAAGGATTAGTCTTTGACCACGTGATGTTTTCTCTTTTTTCTACTTCGATTTTTTTTTTCAACTTTTAAAAGATTTTAATTAATTTATAATTAAAATTTGTTTGTTTATAAATTTTTTCGTTACTTTATTGGGTAATAAGTGTTTATGTTAATGATATTAATCATACTTATTTTCAATATAAATAATTTTTAATTAATATAAATATTTTTTTGCAATAATATATAATTATGTATTAGCTCTTAGTTATAATTACGATACATTTGTTTCTACCAATATGTATATTAATACATTTATTAATTAAATTTCTCAATATGACATTCTCATTACTTTATTTATTTTATTTTTACATGTAATAGATAATCAATAGGGTTAATTGGCAGAAATATCTTGAATTTTTTTTCCAGATTTCTTGTCATCTTAACTTTTTTAAAAGCATTTTTGCTCTAAAGGTTTAAAAAATAGAGTATTTTTACCCTATCATTAAATATATGAAACGTTAATCATTAAGTGAAGTTTGATAAGGGTATAAATTTTACAATTTTGCTCTCTTTTATTTTTGCATTTTTCATTCTTCATTTTCATTGATTGAAAAAAAAGTTAAAAAATTCATAGAAAAATGAAATTAAAGACTAAACACAGAAGAAAAGAAGGAAAAAAAATACAAGAATATTCTTGGCTAAACTTCAATTTAACGGTCCATATTTGTTATTTTTAACAGTGAGTCAAAAATGCTATCTTTTTAAAACTTTTAAAAAAAATGTTTAAAACAAAAGTTTAGGATGTCAGGTACCTTTGAAGAAAAAATTGTAAGACATTTGTACCTTTTAACCCTAATCAATATGTGTAATTAATATGTGTTGGCAAAAAAATTAATATGATATTAGTTCTTATTTATATAGCTTGGTCTTCTCCTTCAATTTTTTTCTTATGAAAAATAAAAGATAAAGATTGGAATAAAAGCAAAAGGATAACACAATTTTTTAGTCCCTCACGTTTTTTTTTCAATTATTGATGTAATTTCTTAAGTTTACTTCTGCTATCAATTTGATCCTTATTATTTAAAAGGAGATAATAATATTAAAATTTGCTGATATAAATAATAAAATATTAACGACAACTATAAAGATTAATGACAAAAAGTGTAATTATTTAGATAAAAAAAATATATTTTGAAATTTTAAAAATAAGAGAGCAAAATACAGTTTAAAGGATTATATTAATAAAAATTAAACTAATTTGACAATTAATTTACTCTCATTTATATATATATATATATATATATATGTCAATTCATCAATATATTTTTATTAAATTATTTTAAGTGTTAATTTATATTTTAAAATTTAAAAGATTAATGTAATAATTTTAAAAAATATAAATGATAAAATTAAATTTGATGGGCGAAAAAAAGAACTAGGCAAACTTGAAGCAATGAAATGTCTATTATCCCAAAGCAAACATGGAATTAAACGAAGCTAGCTTATGCTAAGCGCAGGCGCCATTGTGGCCACTAGCTTAGGCAGGCCAGGATGGAACGGTGCTGCTGGAGCAGCTTAAGCCCTATGACGACTGTTCCGTTTCAAAATACCGTTACAAATCTCAGTTGTCACAGTTTTCACCCATTCCATGTGAAGCATCCAATTCTAGGTTGTTCTAGATTTAGAATGAATTGCAAAGAGCCAGCACATGACGATTCTCCTCTCTCCGTTGCTTCGGCTTACTCTGTCCTCGGAGTACGCCCCGATTGCTCTGCTCTCCAATTGAAAGCTGCTTTTCGAGCCAAGGTACGACCGCCAAGTGCATCTTCTTTACTAATTGTGGACTAACTTGTGAAATGAATTGTAGCAATAAGACGGAAATCCTTCAGCCCTTTCCTCATTTCTTTCTCAGTTTTTGTTTAGGAACTTTTTTGGACAAAATGTTTATGCACTTTGGACGACCAATCCAAGACTGACCTTACCAGTTTGTTCGGGCATCTTGTTGAAATTTCCCGATTATAAAAAGAAAAAAAAAACTGAGAGAAAGAAAGCGAAGAGAAATATTTATCTCTCTTACTTTTGCAAATAACGACTGTGTGACGAGGGCTGAAACCCGACCCATTAAATATTCTTCATTTAGGTGAAGCAGTTCCACCCCGATGTGAGCAAAGACGGAACAAATTCAGATACTATGATTCGCCGTGTAATCCAGGCATATGAGGTACTGCAATTAACAACTGTGGCCCTACCATTTTCTCGCTTCAGTTGGGGACTTTTGATCAATATTTAAGTCCACTTCTCTTTTCAAAGGTGGACTTAAATAATAGAAAGTAACTCGGCACTCTAGTTAAAGTAACACAATTTCTAACTTGATACTTTGTGCAGATGCTATCCAGCTGCAGCCGGTCAGAGATAATAGAAAGGTAAAACTTTCAAATTTCTACATTTCAGTGCCGGCAGTGTTTCTATGTCCCATTTCTCCCCTCGCTATAGTGTTTTTTTTTTTTTTTTAGTTGATTGTGCTAGCTTTGTGACTGCATTCTGGAATTGTCCAAATTTCATGGAGTTTCCATAATTTTAACCCCGTGGTCCTTCACCATTACTACTTTTATGTATTCTTAATACAATACTGACAAGCTGCATTTTGTAGGGAATGCTTAGATCCATTTGACAAACCAGAATGTGAAGCTGTTGATATTTTTGTTAACGAGGTTATTTGTGTTGGGAAAGGTACCAATATTCATAGCATATGCTACTTTTTACTTGAATTTTGGTTGGAAATCTGGAAAGTTTATCAGCAATAGAATTAAGTGGATAACATTAATTTGTGAAATGATTCTTGTTAATTGCTGGCAAAAAAAAAAAAAAAAGGTTCTTCTTAATTGCAAGCTTGACACGCTTTGCAGTTATCTTTGCCAGGCTTGCGGAATGCGGACTATGGCATATGTAGAAACTAAATTATCTTCTATGCCTTTATTTTCTCATCAAAATGACAAGTATATATTCTGCAGCATGTTCAAATTCATGTGTGAACAGAGCGCCTCATGCTTTCACATATGTCTCTTCAACTGGAACAGCACGTGCAGCTTCTCAAGGTTTGCTCTAATGTAACTCCACGACTTTAATTCTAACAAGAATATATGTGAAGAATGGCATTATATTTGTATGTAAGAACGTCTGCCATTTCAGTGTTCATATAAAAAATTGATATGCAGATATTGTTCTTTCATAAATTTTTGATCACGTTTCAATGTTTATATTAAAAGAAATGTTATGCAGATAGTTTTTTCATAAATTCATGATCATGATCATTGCCTTCATCCTGGGAAACTGTTTTAGGTCATGGTGAAGATTACCAAGTTCAACTTGCTGTTGGTCAATGCCCAAGAAGTTGCATTCATTATGTTACTCCCTCGCAGAGAATTATCTTAGAGGAGCTACTTGACAGGTACAGTTGAACTAATCTTAGGTGTCCCTCAAAACTTTTCTAGGTAGGTTGTGAAACAATTTATTGAATGAACTCTCCTGTTTTGCGTATTTTGTTCTTAAAGGAATGGAGCTTGACTAATTCTTCCATTTATCTTACGTAACATACAACGCACTTCTTTGCTTATCAAGATTTGCCTCTCGTTCTATTGATTACTGTTCAAATGGCATACAGATTCTTACTTTCATCTAATTGCATCTCCTATTTTTCACTTGTTCGATTGATGTTGCAGCATACTGAATGAACCCTATGATACGTCAACTGAGGCAGACCTTCTCTACTCACTTATAACGAAAGCCAAATATGAGAATAACAGATACCAAAAGCCGAAGAAGGAACCGAAAACTTCAAGCCAGCATGTTGATTGGTTTTAACATTGGAGAAGTGGTGTATCAATAAGCCATCCTATGAATAGAATGACAAGGGCATGGCAATTATTGGCTGCGTTTAAGAGCTTTATTTCTTTTCTTTTTTTCTTTTTTGATGATAAGAGAGATAGCAAAACTAACTACGGAATTCTATTACAAGCCTTATTAAGCCAATCCAAAGCAATAATCTTATTCAGCTCTTTAGATGGATAGACAAGTAGATGCATCCCAAGCATGGCGGCAAGCCCCTATTTCACTAGATAGTCAGCTACCATGTTGTTCTCATGGCTTGGCTTATATGTTGCAACATAACATCTCATTCTCTTCCCAGAAGGCTATGGATCTCCTTGACAAGATCATAATCCTAGTGCTCAACGTTTGGCTCGTTGTGTGGAAGATCTAAGGCATTCGTAGAGTCTGTCTCGAGCGCATGGTCCTCAAACTAGCATCCCAAGACAATTTAAGATAGACCAAGCAAGCCCATAATTCCGATGTCAGGCAGTCCACCTCTCTAGACGCATAGTAAAGCCTTGCATGAACTTGCCTTGTGCGTTGTGGAGAAGCCCGCTATAAGCTGATATGTTTATCATTGTAGAAAAAGAACTATCGACATTTAATTTTACCCACCCTATATTCGACGCCTTCCAACCTCCCACTCTCCTTGACAACAAGCTAGAACTGTTGCTATGTTCATTCAGTTTCTTGTATGCTTCATAAGTAGAGTCAACCATGACCATTGCTTGAGAAATAACCTCCTTGTGTCTTATAAACTTATGTTCAAATGCATGTGAACTTCGACGTCACCATAAGCCCTAGTAGATTGTCATGAATAATGCTCCCTAATCAGTCGTAGAGTTGCTCACCTTCCTTGACAAATTCTTCAGTAACCAATCTTCCTTGTCTTTGTTACTAAAGCCATGCCAAAGTGCAAGTGGGATTAGTTTCTTCCACATTCATTTTGTATCTTCACATTCTTAGAGCACGTGCAAAATTTCCTTAGGTGCTCCATTACACAGCAGGTAATAATCACTCAAGCTTATACCCCTCTTCTTTCTAGCAAAGTTAGTGAGAAGATTTCCTATATAAGCCAGCTGTAAAAATGATCAAAATCATTTAAGAGCTCTTGTTCTTCAGGTTTTCTCCCATATAGGTTCTGACCTGTGATTGTTATTAGTCAACATAGTATTACGCAAACTTAACTGAGAATAAGTCATTCTTCTCTTGCCAAAAAACTATGGTACCTCCGTCCATTTGTTCTAAACCAGCTTCCATCTTCGGCCAAGTAGCTTTAATACATGTCCATACGTTAGAACTCGGCCCCTTAGCACCGATTTTAGGAAGCATATCATTGCCATAGTGATATTTATTCCTTACCACCTTGACCCATTACTCATCATGTCATTTGCAAAGACCCCACCCAAGCTTCGTTAACAATGTAAGATTTTGATTCTCCGCATGTCTTAAGTAAAGCTTGACCTGCTTTTTTTGTCTACAAACATTATCTGTAACATCCTAGAGAATACAACTCCTAATTAACTGAATAAATGAGATTAATTAAATAGATTACTGTGATGTGTGGTTATGGAGAGCTAATGGATGTTTTGGAGCGTAATTTTAACTCTAGGATTGAGTCTGGAACAAAGTTGGGCCACCCGTATGTCCAAAAGTGAGAAAGACAAAGGAAAATGGCTTTATGCCACATATCAAGGCACACGAGCCACCAAAAATCAAACAAGGCTTCTCTGTACTATCACGCACAGCAGTTGTAACACACTAATTTTTTTTTTAAATAATTTAACTCAACCATAGTTGGGTTACAGCTACCCAATACATTTTTATATAAATAATTTCAATATAAAATATTTTATAATTGACTTCAACTCACACAATATAATATTTCAGATAAATTTTTACCTCCTACATGCCATTAAGCTAAATCACATCTGTCCATCCTTATACTCCCAACAAGTAAACTAAATCACATTTGTCCATCCTTATACTCCCAACAAGTAAAATAAACAATTTAGTCAATTTTCAACACAAGCTAGTTATTTGACCTCATAATCATGCCATTTTAATCAATCCAAAGTAAACCAAATATTAAAATTACAGTCATCCAAAGTATACCAAAAATAGAAATAGTTTGAAAGGCATGATTACATTTATATATTCATATAATTGTCAATAAACAAAAAATCCTAATATTGATAATATAACACATTATAAATCATAAATCAAATGTCCAAAAGAGACAGTGGATCTATGCCACTAAGCCTCTGGGACTCCTCCACGTGTCACTCGTGGCTCTTCTCCTAAAAATTGTTAACCACATAATGAGACTCAAAAGTCCCAGTAACCAAAGCCAATTTATTATAGTGTATACAAACAGTTAAGTGTGTGCTTATTAAGTGGAAATCAAAAATAATATAATTCCAACAAAATATAAGAAATATTACAATACACACAAATAAACCATCCTTATATCCCTCTATTAACCTTGAGCCGTAGCCCTCACTCGGTGCTAAATTACCCGGCCAAAGGTAGATTAGCCCGAGCCCTTACAAGCCACCTATTGAGCTCCAATAGGGGCGTACCACGTGGTACATAAATACAACAACAATAACAAGTCTCCCAATATCTCCCACAATAATCAAACAAATTCATAATAATATTGCACAATTATACAATATTACAAAATTCATAATTTTCTCAATAATCACCCAATTAACATGAAGTTACACTAATCATAAATTAAAAGCATGGTTACCTCGTGGCTTTTTCAATAAATTATTCCTTACAATTTCTCTCCCACCACAATCTTCACCAATAATATAATCTACAAATAACATATTATTTATAAATATTAGTTTCAATTTTTTGAAACTAATAAAATAATTCTAATAATAGAATTAAAAATATAACATAACTTCTAATCTCAATCTTAATACAAATCTAGAGTCAATACTATTAAGTAAAATTTTTAACTCCTCTTTTAATTATCAATAAACATTAATAATCTAAAAATTAACTTCTAAACTAATTTTTATTATCAAAAATTTCTTTTTATTTTATAAATTCGCACCTAAAATACCCAAAAATTAAAAATTGAGTCTCTAGCTTGGAATCATAATCCTATAGCCATAATAATTCATTTTTCATCTCAAATAATTATCTAAACCTCAATAAATCAACATACATTTTCAGATCTAGTTTAGAATTTGATCCATAAGACACAAATTCAAAGATCATCAATAAATTTATACTCTAGAATATTTATTATACTACTAATAACCTCATAAACCATATTTATTCAACATAAATTCATCCCTCTTCCAGATCCTAAATTTTCTACCACTACAAAATCAGAAATCAAAAAGAAAGGATGACTAAGAAAAAATTTTAGAACACTTACTTAGTCTTGAAAAACTTGAAATCACATCCTAAATATCCTATTAAAAACTCTTACCTTAAAAACTCAGATCTCCTGCACCTGTGACTCACGCTCACTCTGCCTCAGCTCGCGCACGAAGGAAAGAATAAAGAAACGAAGGAAACAGGTGAGTTTTTATAAAAATTCAGTGGGTGCCACATTTTTTTAATTATTTCTTCTTTCCTCTCTCTTCTTTCTTTTTTTTTATTATTTTATATGTAATCATTATGCGGCCGCCGAAAGCAATCTCATCCTTCTTCTTCTTCTTCCTTTTCTTTTTTTAATACCTTTTCTTTTTTTATTATAATAATATTTTTTATTATTTTATTATTATTTCTTTAATTAATTTTTTTAATTTTAATTTAGAATTATATCCTAAGTTAGATTTAATAATTATCTCCTACTAATTTGCTTACTTCTAAATATTTTTTTTAAAATTTCTATTAACCCAAATTAACTATTAAAATTTAAATTGGGATGTTACAGCAGTGCAAGGTCAAATTTTTAATTTTATCAAACACAAGTTTGATATGAAAAAACAAAGGAGAAAGAAAGAGGTTTGAGCAAGAGGGAAGGAGCAAACTAGGAGAACTCTGCCAGGGCTTGGATTGTGGAAGCATTGGAGGAATTTTGAAGTTTCTAAACACTAAAGGTAAATTTTCAAAGCTTAATTCTTCCTTCTTCTTGCATTTTATTAATGATTAGGGGTTAGGGTTTGTTAAAAAAGAGGAGTTTAAGTCCATAAAGGCTATCAGTCCAAACCCATTAATGTAAATAAAATTAGTAAAAGTTGTTTAAGTTATTTAAATTTAGAATTTGTGACATTGTAAGTCTTAGTGGTTAGGGGATTATTAATACCCAAAATTCCACCATTAGTAAGGTGGTTGGAGCAATATAAAGACATTAATGACTAGTTGAAAGTTCAATGAGGTTAATGTGAATTAGAGAAAGTTAATAAACCCTATAGGTATCTTTGTATATGAGGAGATTAAATTTTGAGAGTGTTGAAATATCGAACTAGATGTTAAAAATTTATCCTAAAGAGGTTATTGACTAATTGTTGATGTGAGTCAATTTAGAGTAATTATAACTTGGCACCATTCAAGCTTCATGAAAGCTTTAGAAATGAGTAATTGAAAGATAAATATTTAACCTCTTAAATGTTTGAGATAACTAGGAAAAAAATATTTCTTATACTTTTATGTGTTAATTGATTTAAATGTTATAATTAAAGTATGTGAAATTATTTAAAATGCAAGTGTGGCATCATATATTTGAAAATCGAATATTATGTTTTTGTAGAGTTTAATGATACATGTATAATGTGAAGTTTAACGAATGTGAGAAATGTGAAGTTTCTTGAATATTTATAAAGTAAAGTTTAATGATGTGATGTTTATGGAATTCAATGATGCAAAGTAAAGTAGCATTTAATGACTCGTTGAGATGCGTTATGTGATGTTCATTTATGACATAAGTACAATGATGGTATTAGCCATATCCATACATTGAGCATTTTGTATGCTATGTAATATTATAATTGTGCATCGCATGATCATAAAAAGTGGGAGTTTGTCTAAAAAGAGGAGTAGTAAGTTTAAAATCCACGTAGTAAGGCTACCCTTGAAGCTTAATGGCTTACTTGAATCTATTTATACTTATCATCCTACTCGTTCGACGAAGGACTGTCCCATTATGTAATAAGAGACTTGAACCTACTTTAGTTTTGATTTGTTTAATGAGGAAGCTAGTTCAGGAAGAACAACACCTTACTATGTGAGATTTAAGGGAAATCGTGACCCACAAGTGAGTTGAGCAACTTTGGCTGAGTGACTTCTCATGCGTAAATGATTAGGGTAGTCTCATCAGATGAACGATCACAATATTTATAGCTCACAATTTTGTGTCGAAGGCATGGGAAGGATATAAGGGAGTGTAATCATGCATATTGTGATAAAAAGGGCACACGGTTGTCTGTATTGTGACTCTAGTGACGAAAATCATGTGATTTGCTTTATTTCAATGTGAAATATAATTATCATGCCATTATCTCATGAACTTTTGCTAGTATGGATGTGAAATGTGAATATGTGTTTTGATCATGCTAAGTTAGTATGAGTATGATAATTGATTCCACTTGTATTTAGATTAATTAACATACATTAGTATAAGTTAGATATACTTTAATTACTGAATGGTTGTACTCAACCCTCTTTCTTTAATATTATAAGAACTAGCTCACTGGGACAAGATCGAGAAAAATAGACTAAAGCTTAGGATTTCAATCATAAAACTGTATGTCTTTTTTATTTTGAGTAATATATGTGTATAATTATTGATAATGTTGCCAACTAAGAGTTTTCATGTGTGCTTACTTGCATTGTGTTGGTTGATGTTAAATTGTGTATTTTAGACCCTAAGTTGTGTTTATGTATAAATTGTGAAATTTAGAAATGGCTAAAATATTAGTGCAAGTAAGAAATAAGAAAAATGTGATTGTTGTGGAATAATTGTGAAATTGAGGCTCCCTCTTCTATTTTTATGATTAAGGAGTTAGGCATTGAAAATGTATTTGATGTGTTAGATAGTGATGTAATGTATTGTACAAGTTCATTAAAGTCCATTGAGTTTGGTCTAGAGTGTTAATTAGGCTTTTGACACAAGGATTAAATGTTGGGCGTCTAAGTTGTATTTGAGATATAAAAAGGAGTGAATTTAGAGATGAGTGTTCAATTTTTTACTAAGAAATTATTTGATTTTGAAATCAGTGCCATTACCCAGAGTTAAAAGAAAGCTCTCTGTAAACATATAGATCGCCTCAATCAAACATCGGAGAAAGAAATAGGACACATAAAAAATTAGCCTAGTTGTTGTTTTATGATTGCAACAATGTTGTAAAAAATGTATAATACACCATGACCAATGTTTTCAGAACTGGGTCAGATACTGAACTGGAAGGGTCAATGGTTCACGATTTGCATAGTTCAACTGGAGTGGACCAATGGTTAAATCAGTAATGTAATAATTAAATTAAACAAATTATATATGTATATAATAATCTAAATATAAAAAGTAAATATGAAATTACTACTTAACTAAAAAAAATTAAATATTTTAAGTTTATTATTATTTAACAAGCTACATGATACAATATAACATCAAATGATTAAAAAATTGGTCATTTCCTAAAAAAAATTCAATAAAAAAAAGTTTTTTTTGAACAATCTAGTTCTTGAAAATTGGATTCGATTGTCGACTTGATTTTGATTTTTAGTCCAATTGTCGGTCCTAAACGACCTAACCCATCTCAACTCCAAAAACAATTTTCATATATTGATGGAATTGGAATTTGGACTGGTCAACAATCAGACCGGTTTGATTTTTAAATTATTAATCATGATGCATGACACAGAGGCAAGCATGTTGCGGCGCATGTGAAACTAGCTACAACATGCTTTTATTTTCTATTGTACTATTATTTTGCTTTTAACTTTATTGGAAATACTTTAACTTGTAAAAGATCACATGTTTCCCCCATATATTTTTAATTCTAATTTTTGAATTGTAAAAGTATATTGAGATGTTTTAAATTTGTTTAAATTTAGGATCTTTTATTTGTAAAACTTACAAATTTGATAACTCTTTTGGGTTAATTTTTTGATTATCTTGATTCTTGAATTTAATTGAAGATTAGTAAAAGAGACTTTATATTATTCCAAGCAATTAAATGTACTTTTCTTCGCTCACTTGATTTACACCGCAAGAAGTGACAGTTGCACCTATCAAGAACTTCACAAGTAGCACTGGGGAGCAAAGAGGCTTGCATGACATGTCTTGGAATGGCTAAAGTGCCCAACGCCACCAAGTTAGTGCAACCAACAAGGGAAAGAAAACTTATTATTTAAAATTTAGCGAAACATACATGAATATATGCATTTTATCCCATCCCTTCTGTATTTCTATAGGAAGGGGCAGGGGCCAATGCACGACATGGTTATGCATTTTATTTCTCCTTTTGGACTATCGAATTATGATATTTTGAATTTTTTAGAATTTAGTACAATTTATATTCTTAATATTTAAATTCCTTGTTCGAAAAATCATAAGAATCATTATCTTTTTATGTGATCATTTCCATTTGTGAGTGGCATGTATATGAATGTATATATTCGTAAGTACGTGGCATACAGAAGTTTATTTTTCCCATGCACATCCAAAGTTTGTTTTACACGGACTGTTTATGTGTAATATTATTTTATCGGACATGTTTGCCCCTCTATTATACATAGATTGAGGAATAACCAGTACCGTTTTGGACTGGCAAGAAAAAATATGCTCTTTCTATTCTTAATTATAAGACCTTTCTGGTCAAAATATATATATATATATATATATATTTTATATGACCTATTTTTTAGCCATGTTGTCTTTATGTGTGTGTGTGTGTAGCCTTAGCCATGTTGTCTTTAATTACAAGACTCAATACAAAATTTTGGAAGTAATTAAAACATTTTTTTTGAAATGTCTTTTATAAATGATAACATTTAATTGAAAGTGAAAAAATTATGGTGTTTAATCAAGGGCAAAACAAGAAAGAATAAACAATTTTTCTACACATCACCTAAATTTGAGTGTTTTGTTGATATTTGTATTTAGATCTTAGATCTTATAATAAAGGATCGAGAGAATATCAATAATCATCAACCACAAAATCGAGACACACGAGATCCTCTTATTTCGATGTGTAATTTTACACTTTTATATCAAATTATAAGATATTTTTTAAAAAAGATTTGATGTCCCAAAAATTTAAGATATTTTAAAAACATAAAATTTAATTAATAATATATTTTTTAATTTTAGCATTTCCATTGTATTATATTCTCTCTTTAATATTTTTTTTATGAGTGACGTATTAAATTAAAGGAATTTTTAAAATTTTATATTTTTATGTTTTAAAAAATAAAATTATAAATTATAATTAATAAATTTTTATTAATATTTATAATTTTATTTAGGAAAAATATAACTTTCAGTTTTTATACTTTGCATGCGATTTGCTATTGGTTCCTACACTTTATTTTTGGTGTTTTAAGTTTCTACTTTTTTCTCCATTTATACTTTAGGTTCCTACACTTTCAGAGGAGTGTTGACGTGGCACTAACAGTGTTAATCATACTAATATAGATAATAACACCGTTAATTATATGGTAAAATGTCAGTTAGTGGTTAATGTATATTTTTTCTGGGGAAAAAAGAAAGAAAAGCTTATGTGTATTTTTTTTAATATATATATATATATATATATATAAGTAGGGTTTAAGGTTATGAGAAAATGTCACTTGTTTATTTTTAGATTTGTTATAATTCTGTATTTTAATGTGCCTTTCCTGTGATTCTATGTTCTAAAGTCAGATTTGAAATTAAGTTTGAGATAGTTTATTATTTTTTAATGTATATAAAATATATTATTTAGATTTAGAGTCAGGATAAATTTTTTATTTTCTAATTATTAAAAAATACTCTCTCGAGTCTCATTTACAGGGCATATTCTAAAAAAAAAATTTGTTCAAAATGTGAAATACTTTATAATAATTAAACTACTTTTTTCAATTTTACCTTTTATTGATCAACATGAGAGTATTTAATATAATTGTATAATTAAGGCCAAAGATAAAAATGAAAATACGTAAAATTTTTTTATGATATAAAAAAACTAAATTTTTTTAAGATATGTGAAACAGTTAAAAATGTCTTATAATAAAAACTAGAGGGAGCATACATAAGCTTTTCTTTTCTTTTTTTCTCAAAAAGAATATACATCAGCCACCAATTAATACATCACCATATAATTAATAATGTTATTATTTATGTTAATATAATTAACACCATTAATGCCACGTCAACACCCCTCTAAAAGTGTAGGGTAAGTGCAGACAGAAAAAATTATTGAAATTTAAAACATTAAAAATAAAATATAAAAATTAATATTAAATCGTGTACAAAATATAGGAAGTAGGGAGTGAAAGTTATATTTTTTTTTTATATAAAAGTGTCTTACAAATTAAAACAGAAGTATTTAAATACGAAGGATACGAGCCTCTTCAGACTCCAGGTACAAATGTAAACTCTGCCATTGTGCCCGGCCCACAAAACCGGCCCATCTTTGTTCCAGTTTTCCGCTCTAATTTTAAAGCCGTTGCGGATTGATTTCCTGTGTTTTTGTCCCTAAGTTCAAATTTGAAATCTCATCAAACCCTACCGACCGTTGACGAGCAAAGTAGTGAAGGCTCTCCCTCTCCCTCTCTGATTCTCTTTCCATCGCTTCCTCGCTATAGCTCGTGTTCATTTTTCCCTTTCGTGTCGGAATACTCATCTTTCTTCTCCAATATCTCCGTTTCCGATCCCATGGACGGTACTTGTATTCTCTTCCCTGCTTTTCTTGTTAGATATTGGAGATTACCGAAATGAGAGATCTCTTCTGACATTGTTTCTTGACAAATATCTGAGGAAATTTAACGGGTCTTATACTTCTTGCAGAATTAACTATGGAGACACTTACTGAAAAGTTTAATCAATTTGTGATTGACTGCAATTTGAAGTCATGTAACCTCGACTCAGGTTTTCGTCCTTCCTGATCTTTCATTTGCTCTGTATTTTCTAGTTTTTTTATTTGATTTCTTTGGGTTTAAAACGAAGAGTGATTCCAACGACATTATTGGTTGTTGGATCATTTGTTTAGTTTCGGCCCGGAATATAGCAGATACAGCTAATAACACAGGTTTGTCTTCTTGACCCCACTTCGTGCCCTTAATTCTTCCTTTTTTTTTCCCTTATTCGTCTTCATGGAGTCTTTTTTCGCTCTGTATATGCGTTATTTATTTAATTTTGGATTTTGCAATTGTTATTAGGCAATATTTCACCACAAGTGAAGGAGAATTCTGTCTGCGTGGATGAGAATAGTCTGTCGAATGGGACTAATGAAATTTCTCCAGATCATACACTTCCAATTTTGAAGAAAATACTTGATTTAAGTTCCAAAATTCAGGTAATTTTGAAGCTTAATTCCTTTTTCCCCAGTTTTTCTTTTAACTTATGAATGTGTGGCTTCTCAGTTCTTATTCTGCTCCCTCTTTTTTCCTCCCTTTCTCTCTGGGTATTAAAGGATAGGTCTGTCTTGTATTTTCCTTATTTGTTCCCAAAAAAGAAAGATTGGCTTTTCTTAAACATAGGAAACTTATTTTTCTATTGATTTACCTGGTTTTTGTTTTTTGATGCGTCAGGAGTTGAAGGACCAACATGTAGTCCTATCTGATCATGTGAAATTCACGATTGATTCCTTTCCAGGCCTTGAAGTAGTAAAGTCTGTTCAGAGTCTTGGTAAAGTCATGGAGTAAAGAAAATTGAACGAACTCTCCACCTATTTTTTTATCAGTTGAAATTTATTTTCCTCTTTTTGTCCGGTACTAGGTGCTGAATACGAACTACTGAAAATAAAGTACCTTGAGGAGTCCACGGAGCGGAGACGGCTTTACAATGAAGTGATTGAAATGAAGGGAAACATCCGAGTTTTCTGCAGATGCAGACCTCTAAATGAAAGTGAAACTGCAAATGGACATGCATCTGTCGTCAATTTTGAGTCATCTTCTGACAACGAGCTTCAAGTCATATGCTCTGATTCTTCTAAAAAGCAATTTAGATTTGACTGTGTCTTTCGACCTGATGATAACCAAGGTACCTGAGTATTTAGTTTTGTTTTTATATGTTATGTCGCAGTAGAGAAATTTCTCTCATTTTGGGAAGCGCTTTATTGTGGATTTATTATTCATCATGCAGAGGCTGTTTTTGCGCACACAAAACCTATTGTTACCTCAGTTTTGGATGGGTTTAACGTTTGCATTTTTGCCTACGGCCAAACTGGAACTGGTAAGACATTTACTATGGAAGGAACACCGGAACATAGGGGAGTTAACTACAGGACACTGGACGACTTATTTCGGATATCTGAAGAGAGACGTAGCATAATGAAATATGAATTGGTTGTTAGTATGCTGGAAGTTTACAATGAGAAGATAAGGGACCTCTTGGCAGAAAATTCTGATCAACCTACTAAGAAGTAAGTATTCTTTCTATTATGTTACGTCTAATTAGCACAGTAATTTTTAGTTTTTTCTTTTACGAGCATATTGATGTTTAATCAAATTTTGAGTGATTTCCACTGAGTTGAATAACAAGTGTACAGTTGCAACCATTGTTTTTAAAGATCTTCAGTTCTAGGTAGATCTAGCATAGGAGAACATGTTCTCAACTTTACTTAATTAAATGAAGGTTGGAGATTAAGCAAGCAGCGGATGGAACCCAAGAAGTTCCAGGACTTGTTGAAGCTCGTGTTTATAGAATAGAGGACGTGTGGGAAATGCTCAAGTCCGGAAATAAAACCAGATCTGTTGGGTCCACCAATGCCAATGAACTTAGCAGTCGTTCTCACTGGTATATCTTGATTGTGCTTAGTACTTTGTTTTTAAAATTATCTGAGCACTCAATATCATACTATAGTCAAATATACAGCATAGCTTTTCCATTAATGTCACATATTTAAAGTTGGCACCGGAAGCGTTATTTCTACAAATGAATGATACGCACTTTTGTCTACTAGTACATAATTGATGATCCAGAAGTGGCTCCCATGCAGCTTGTTACGAGTTACTGTTATGGGGGAGAATCTTATCAATGGCCAGAGAACAAGGAGTCACCTCTGGCTAGTAGACTTAGCAGGGAGCGAACGTGTGGGAAAAACTGAAGCTGGGGGAGATAGATTGAAGGAATCTCAATTCATAAATAAGTCTCTATCAGCACTCGGTGACGTTATTTCTGCACTTGCATCCAAATCAGCCCACATCCCTTACAGGCAATTGTCATTTCATTTGTTAGACACATTTCTGCTGAATGCTTTGTTATTTTATTGATATTTGTATTCTTTTTTGGAGACAGGAACTCAAAACTCACTCATATACTGCAGAGCTCGCTAGGTGAGGTTTCAATTCAGCATTATGCCCTTTTGGGAGTGGCTTCTTTATGGTTGGGGTTTACATCTGAATCCCATGCTTTTAAATTTTCTTAGATCTAAAGCGAAGTATTCAGTTGATGTTGGATTCTTTGCGAGTGCATTCTTTCTTATTTGTGATGTTGATCTTGAAATGCAGGAGGAGATTGCAAAACTCTGATGTTTGTCCAGATAAGTCCAAGTGCAGCAGACCTAGGAGAAACGCTTTGTTCACTGAATTTTGCCACTCGTGTCCGAGGAATAGAAAGTGGCCCAGCTCGCAAGCAAGTAGACCTAACTGAGCTGTTTAAGTACAAGCAGATGGTATGGTGGAGTCTAGTTATTTTCTACACCGGGAATTTAACATGGCTTTTGGTATATAAATTTTGAAATTTCATCGACAGGCAGAAAAGCTTAAGCACGATGAGAAGGAAACAAAGAAATTACAGGATAGCCTGCATGCCTTACAACTAAGGCTTGCTGCCAGAGACCATATGTGCAGGAATCTTCAGGAAAAGGTAAATTGTTCGTGTGCGTAAGTTTTTTGCTCAGGTAGTCTTGTAATTTATATGTCCTAATATATATGTTGGACATTGAAATTTACCGTTAACTTCTGTGGTTTCACAGGTTCGGGACCTTGAGAACCAGATAGTAGAAGAGAGAAAAACCAGATTGAAGCAAGAAAGTAGAGCGATTGCAATTTCGGCTCAACCCTCAAAACTCGCATCGCTGAAAGAAGCGCCACCTCGGAAAGCTATAGCAGAGAAAAAGCCGCCACTGAATCCTTCGAAGTTGAGGATGCCACTGCGGAGGATTACAACGAACATAATGCCTCAACCATCTCCTATGCCCTCAAAGAAGAATGGAAAGGAAAACACTGGCAGAAAGAGCGTAATGACGAGAAACGCACAAGACCTTGTGAAACCAAGGAGGGCGTCCATTGCTGTGAGACCAGGCGCGGCGCCGCCGTTAACAAGCCAAGTTTTCCAGCCCAGGAGGCGGGTCTCAATCGCTACATTCCGACCGGACACTAGTTCTGGCTTGACAACTCCACTTCGTAGCTCTGCCTCTGGATTCACTAGTGGTCAGCAATCATCGATAACAAGCCAAAGGAAAGCTCGGTATTCAAGGCTGTTCGCCCCATTGCCAGAGATGAGAGCACCGGTTGAGACTACCCCCAGTTTCATGAGGGGCAGTAGCAAGTTCATGGGCAGCCCAGTAGGGGCGGTTAGGAATCCGGCCGTGGTTGCACTGCAACGAAAATCCTTTGTGTGGAGTCCTCTGAAGCTAAGAGGCTTCAAAAATAGCAGAAAGTCGTCACTGTTGCCATCTCGGCCTTCCTCCGAAATGCAATGAGACTATGAGATTGAGGTGGGTTCCATTGTCAAATATATACATAAACCTTGCAGCCATCTCGGCCTAGTATCTACAAGCTTTGTCTTCATTCCTCTTCTGAAAACGGGGCCAAGTGGTGTGTCTTCGAAACAAATAAGTTTAAATTTCTTGGACGTGAAAAGGATTGATTTCTCTTGTAACAGTGTGATTACTCAGCTGCTTGAATGGGCGTGGCCTACAAAGTGAATTGAGTATATAGCCTCATTTTGTTAAAAAATACCATCAAGGCAAATTCTTACAAAGCTAAGTGACCAAGTGGCATTTTCTAGACGAATTTTGTTTGACTAACCTTTATTTTTTAAGAATTAATCCGCGCAGTATAACATTTTTATTTTTGGGATCAATATAAGTTAATAGACTTCTTTTTTAGTTTTTGGTAAGGGGAAAAAAAAAAGGGAACTGTTTAGTTACTAAAAAAATATTTTAGAATGGAGACTGATTCAGGGTAGATTAAATCTTTTAGAGGATTTAAATCCTTTGTGTTGTAGACTAAATAACTCTTGACAATTTTAAAAGTTGAAACAACACTTTGAAATTTTAACCGCCAACTCTTTATTGTTAAAATTCTAAATCGTCCTTAAATCTGACTACATGTGCCAAGTCATGTGCAATTAGATGATATACTTATTAGACGATATACAATTCTAAGCATTTTATCAATTTTCCTTCCACTTAAAAACCATAGCATCATTAAAGGCCATTTCCTTGGTTTCTCTTGCTAGTAAATTATGTGTACTTTTACCTTTATTTTATTATCAATTCCGAACCAAGACATGTATTAATTTAAAAAGGGCAATGAATGTCTTGTACGATATTTTAAATAGGGCAATTTTAATGTTTTTATTGAAATGTAATAAGTAGATAATTTTTTTCCGTATTATATTTTTTTAATTAAACCATAGTTAAAATTTCAGAAAATTATGTGAAATTTTAACTTGAAGTCAATCCTCTGATGACACAGGAGAAATGGCTTCTCCAGAAATAATTTAGTTAATTAATTAAGGACCCTAAAGACAGAGCAAGATAATTGGCAAAAAAGACGTTGAAATTGAAACGGCGCGGAGTTATTTTATTAATTAATTATTAGTATCATTTTATCATGATTTTTTTTGTTTGTTTTTGTTTTTTTTTTTGGGGGGGGTTTGGGGCGTTCAATGTAGCCGTTACAATAGTTTCGCGATGATGGACTCGACCGTTGGAACCCACAGAAACAAGTTTTGACTTTCCACTTCGGTGCCAAACTGAAAGAAAAAGGTTTCGGGTCCGCGTCTGTCTGTGAGAGGGGGGGAGAGAGAGAGAGAAGAGAACAAAATTTCATTCCCAATCTTAGGTTGGGTACTTTGTTGGAGAGAAAAAGGTTTGGGGTCGGAGTCTGAGACTAAAATTTATAGATCGACCCTCGTGTTTCCTTCGTATAGCGCAGAGATGGTTGCGAGAACCCCACCAAAGTCGAAGAAAATGTTAGCCGCACTCAATCCTCTCCTCATCAGAGAAACATTAAACAAGGTAATCTACACTTTCCCTCGTGAGATTCAATATTCCGATTGCAGATCTCAATCAAACAAGAGCAAATCACAGAAACCTTAACCTTAAAATTAAATAACGTAGTCCAGCATCAATTTCATGTATGCACGTTACCCCTGCGCTTTTACGGTAACGAAGTTTTTTGTGGATGTCTGAAGATGGACCAGTGCATGGCTCGACTTCAGGAACTTCAGTATACTGTGGCCGGCGGGACGAAGGCGGTTTCAGGGGTGAATCTCAGCCCTCGCAGTACCAGAGGCTATCTAAGAACCAGTCTGAGGTGCAAGCAAGAATCACTCAGGTTTGGCTTAGATTGAAATGTCCTATACCATGATGACCTGAGTTCAAAATTTTTAATCCAAGTGATTGGTTAAAATTGTAAGCCTTGTTCTTGCCATTTTGAAGGATCACAAATGGCGCCCGTTCCAGATCTCCAAAAGGGAAGTTTCCAGCAAATACAGGAGGTCGTCTCTCCCCACCCTACATGAAAATCAACTTCTTGAAAATCAACTTCTTGTATATTTATTTTATTTTCATATTTTGGGGGCTGAAGACTAATAATTGAAGGACCATTTATAAATTATTTGCAGGCGAATGGAAGCGAATGTCATTGCCAGCAATGCTTGTGGGTGAAACTCTTGGAGAAATTCTACAGGCAAGTCAGTTTGCCAGAGATATTGTTTCAGCAGTGGCCAAGAAAACTGATACCAAAGACCCAAAAACTCCGGCACCGCCACAACGGACAAACCAGAAATTACTACACCCAGAAAACACCCAACTCAAAGCTAGGAGGAAGAAAGAGAAGCAAACCAAGCTAGAATCAGCTCGATCAGAATCAGCATCCCCTTCAATCGGAAGGGCTCGTTCAAGAATCAATTTTAAGGTTTCTCCCCAGAAAGTGAGGGAACTTGAGAAAGAAAATAACAGGTATGTGGCAAACAGGGTGTCTCCGAGGAATAGGCCCTGGGCCAAGAAGACTGTACTATTCCCCAACCCTTTGTCCCTGTCCACGTCTTCTTCACAGCAGCAAAAGTTTTGCAGGACAAGATCTCCGGTTATATCAGGAAACAGAGGGACTCCACACAAGTTCTTGATCAAGTCCCCTAGCTCTGCTTCTAAATTCCAATCCAAGAACAAAAGCCCACCACCCAGGGTCCATGTCCACAACAAAAGCCCACCATCCAAATTCCAAGTGAAGATTAAAAGCCTGCCAGTTTTGTCTATTTCTTCACCTACAAGACCCCCAAGTCTCATGAAAAAGACTTCTCCCAAGAGATCGGCAGTATCCAAATGGCGTCGATCTTTCTCTCCATCCAGGTTGGCGACCAGATTCGCTTCACTTTCCCCATTGAAGAGCAAGAGAAGCGTATGCGTACAGAAAAGTGACGGGTTAGTGAGTGGACTGAAACAGCGTCCACCTCCAACAGTGCAATTCCCTGCTAGAAGAATTTGATAACATGTTCACCTGCCTTGGTTTTATTTCGTACCTGAGTCGAGGAGGAATTCTTCATGTCTATAGCTATATATTCTTTTCCTTTTAAGTTTGGTGGTGCATGTCCTTTTTCTCTTGTTATGTTAATAAATTTTCTTCACTTAAGCATTTTTTTACTATCGCCAATCGCGAATTTATCAGTCACTTGCCCTCGTTCTGCTCAGCAAAATCTTGGTTTCCCTGTGCGTAAGACCATAATTAACTTGAAATTATTGACTGATAAATGCGCCAAATACGGGACACACCTGTGTACTCTAAGCGTCAATATCATAACATAGTTGAAAACTTGAAAAATAATTAAATAAGAAAAGAAAAGAAACGTGATGGCAACTCATTCTATAAGTAATCTGAAACCACGCAATTCTGATTATTTTTCACTTCATAATACAATCGGGTCACACGTACTAAACACCTGTATATTCAAGACCTGCACAAGGAAGCATTATGGGGCTGGATGACACCAAAACGACCGAATCGGGTATAAAAAAAAATTAACACCCTGCAGTGAAACTCGTATTTGCAATTCCCAGCGGCTAAAATGGGGCCACGTGGAAGGTTGACCAATCTGACACTTTATTTGCTTGGTGATGCAAATCTTGTCCGTTCTCTCTGCCGATTTAAGGCTCGATCCTTTGGTGATGATGTTTTCCCTCCGATACCAGCTTGACGCATCATTTCTGCAAAGTTTCCCCAACTCACATGTAAAAAAGGTGAGTACATAGTTCATATACAGTCCAAACTCAAACTCGGGGAATCCCGTTTGTAGGGGCACAGTAACAAGGAAATAGACAATAGTCAAGCAGTTTCTAAATAGACAAAATTTGTGTAAAATTCTTAGAAATAAAGAGAACAAGTTCTAACCGCGCTTTCTCTCAAGCTCCTGGTCAAGTTCTTCTTTCCACTTCCTCTGTCTCTCAGAAAAGCTTAAACTGCAAGCAGAACATCTAACATTCAGATTGCTTCAAACATTTGACGATAATTAAAGCTGAGACAAGCAAAACAAAGTATTAGACGATAGACAAACCTTGGGCTAGAAGGCTCCTGCTGGGAATCAACTAGCAATCCTTTCCATTCATTGAGGGGCGGTGATGGTATGTCATGTGAATTATGATCAGTTGCATTGCCAACATTTGGGGAGGACCTGCCATTACTTCCAGGACTTTCAGTATGGTCAATTGCTTTTGATGGGGTGCCAATTGGCACCCGATTCGGGGACCTGCTTTTAGGAGGTAATGCCAAGAACTTTGGAGTAGTTTCGTCATTTGTGGTTTCAACCGCATTGGGAGAACAAGATGTATTTAAACTGTTGTAGAACTCTTCATATAAAGGCGTCTGCAGTTTTTTCAGTCCTAGAGCCTGCCATAAGGCATCGATTTATGACAATTTAGTGGGACACAAGGCTAATGAAAAACATGATCACCTAAGGACTTAATACCTTCTCATCCAGAAAAGCTTGTATTTTTGACTCCGTGAGTTCATCATCATCCTCAGACACTGATGCTTCGCCTGCAAAGGAAAAATCTTTTTGCTCCTCTTGGAAAGCCTCCGGGTGGCCAGGAGGCTTGTACATTTCATCAGTGCAAATACTAACTCCACTATGATCCAGCTCTGGACTCACATCAAATTTGCAACTCCAATCATCAGAGGGCTCAGACATTGGGTTGAAACTCTGCATATTGAGAAATTAATTCTGGAAAAGACTATTTTCTTATGGATACAACAATGCACAAGGACCAAAACAGTGCAATCACCATGATATTTTCTGACATGGAGGATCTAACTTTAACAGCCCCCTCAGAGAACTCATCTTTGTCATCAATCTCACACATGTCGTCATCATTGTCCATTCCCCAATACTCTTTATTTTCTTCTTCCTCAGGATGTGCAGTTGACCTGCAAGGATTGCACAAATTATAGAAAATTAGTCAAAACTCAACAGATTCAGATTTTGTTAGCATCACAAAAAAAGCAACTGCCAAATCTTAAGAAAAGATCTCAATACTCACGGAGTTTTGGTGTTAGACGCACATGATGCTGAAGAAGCTTCAAATTTTTCCTGTCAAACAAAAGTTATTTTCCCTCTTGATTTGTCATACACAAACACAACCGCAACTTAAAATATTACTCTAACTATACAAACCATTGCTGCATATGACCCAGGAGAACTCGTGTGTTCACCAGTAACAAAGCGATGCTGCATCAATTAGAAAACTTGATATTAAGGGAAACATAATTATTATTGGCAGAACAATGTCATATGAATCCAAAATACTAGAATGGCCACTCAAGCTGCTGTAGTCCTTTGTCTGTACATTCAATAAAGAGAAATGACATTAGAATCACCTGCAGCAGTTCCGATGCTGATGGCCTTAAGACCGGTTCCCTGCATAAAGAAAGTAGGTAACATTTGTAATCTAAACACAAATATAGTTCCATTTACCCGATCAAAATTAGCATTTGAAATCTTTCCTTGACAAATGGGCATAAATTATGAAGCCCAAAAAAATAAGAATTTGATGATTCAGGCTAAAGAAATATATAACACTCCTAAATCTGAACTGAAACTAAACTAGAAAGACAAAAAGAGGATAAAGTTTAAAAAAACATACTTCTGCAAACATTTTAATAGAAAATCTTTTGCTCCAGCAGAGAGATGATCCGGAATTGGGGGATGAGACTTTGTTGTCCCTATATGGAAGAGAGCAGCAACCTGAAGGTCCAATATTTTATCAGATACTCATAGATCACCTCAAAACAAAATAGAAGTTATATTTTAAGATACCTCTTGGTACTGCTGGCTCCAAGGAGGTTTTCCGGTGGCCATCTCAATCACAGTACAGCCAACGCTCCATATATCAGCAGAACTGAGAAAACATACTCATATTGATTTGTTTCTTGAGAATTTCAAAGGATGCAGAATTATACAAGGAATTTATAGAAATATGAATATGTTAAAAGTTAAGATAATGGAAAAGAGGCAAGGCCCAAAACATGATGTAAGGTTACCCCCAATAAAACTTCCAAAGGTAGAAACTTTTACCAAAAATTTGTCTATAAAAAATAAGTTCCACTATTTTTTAGACAACTTACTGTGCTTAAAATGACAGATCTGCTTCGTATTGCATTGTACCAAAAAACTACAATTACATTTGATTTCCTAAAAGTTCCAGCAGTTACCCTTTTCTATACCTTAAACCAAGAATCCTATTTTCTATGAGAAAAAGTAACCTTAAGGCCCCGTTTGGTAGTTTGGAATCATGGAGAAAGAAATGGAATTGGACATGGAATCTATTAACATGTGTGTTTGGTATGCAATAATTATGATTCTTTGGAATCAGGATTCAAGGAAATTTGATGGAATCCAATTCCATCATATGCATTATGGAATCCAATTCCATGGTTCCTTTTCTCCAATTTGCCCCTTCTCTCTCCTCCAATATAATTTTTTTTAATTTTAAAAAGGACACTTTAGTCTTTTCTTATTTTAAATACTTATATTTTATTAAAATTATATCAGGATTCCATCATTATACCAAACACACTTTTAAATCCAATTCTATTCCAATTCCAATTCCAATTCCGATTCCGATTCCGATTCCGATTCCATTAAAAACTCTTCCATCATACCAAACATGACCTAAAATTAGGAGTTCATCCCTGTTTAAAAGAGTGATAGAGATATTTAACTCAATAATTCAATTCAATATCAATAGTTTTTTGTTTATAGATAATCTATAGTTGAGAAGGAGAGGAACAAGGGAGATTAAGAGAGCAAGAAAATAGAGCAGCTTGTCGTAAAATATGTTAGGAAGGTTAATTTCCTTACAAGCTATGCCCAGTCTGGAGAATAACTTCAGGAGCCATCCAATATGGAGTACCCTTCATAGACTTGGCACCAGAAATGGTAGCCTGGAGCAATGCACATCTTAGACCATATGCAATGAGAAGAGCCTTCACAGCATACAGACAGAATAGATAATCGTAAAAGTGACATAAAAGATTGCCCATACCAGCTCAACAACCTGTTTGGAAGCCCCAAAATCAGCAAGTTTTATGCATCCTTTATTATCAACAAGGATATTTGCCCCCTGAAAATAAAGTATACTTGAATGTTATTCACTTAAAAAGGGTAAGTCCTAAAAGCATATAAATGAAATCGTAAGAAAAGCCACCTTAATGTCCCTGTGCATGATTCCATTTTTGTGCAAGTACTCAAGTCCCAGCAGTAACTGCTTGGTGAAAGTTCTAATAACCTGCTTTATGAATTAATGCTTATATAATGGTTGATAGAATTACAAGATACAAGCATTCAGTAGCTAAACTCACAGCCTCAGGGAAAGCTCCAAACTTCCCCAAAAGTGATGATATGGATCCACCTGGGACAAACTCCAGAAGAATATTCAAGGTGTCCTCCTCCCTAACTGTACCCAAATATCTCTACAGGCCAAAAATATTATGTAATCTTAAGAGAGTTTCTTTAAACGTTTTGTCAATGTCATTCACCACTTGAACATCATACTCACAACAATATTGGGATGAGAAAGATCTTTAAGAAGCTTAACTTCTTCCTCAAGCTCCTTTATGTGAGCCTGTTAATTGCATTAAAATGGTATCCACAATACCAAATGTCATTCAAATAACATCATAAGGTCATTAAATCAAGATGGATCATGCAAAGGGTGGGAACAAAGAAAAACCAATGTCATTTGCATCCAGCATTTTGATAATAAGATACCAAGACATCTTCAAAAGGAAGATACTGCAAATGTGATAAGTTTTGTCATTTTGAAAATTTTCCCGTGCCTCTGATATTTCAGCAATTTTTTTTTTTAAATCAATGCCCTATATTAAGAACACTTTATGATATGCAAGACATTAAATCAAAATCCAAAAGTTATATTTTTTCTATTTTTCCCTTTAATTGTTGAGGCCATTTATTAAAGACTAACGATCAAATCACAGGCATTTAATCTCCTAAATTAATGCACTAATAAGTCCCTGCAAAGAGACAAAAGAATCTAAACTGATCAAACAGAGAAACACGCAAGACATCATTGTCACTGAACTTTTTTTTCAATGTAAAAAGTGCCAAAAAATAAGCAAAAAGAAATTGGAAGAATAAATTTGAACCTGTGCCTTCTCCTTCGAAGCGCTACTAGCCGCGATCAGAACCTATAAAATCAGACAAAATAAGAAACCAAAATAAATGTCAACTCCTATGGTATAATAAAAATATAAATATGCGCTGATTAAAAAAAGATGAATATACTATGAGTAAAAGAAATCACCCAAAAAAAATCGACATTGAAATACTAGAAAAGGATGCAAAAATCGCAAGAGTCGTTTCCTAAATTTCAAGCGAATAAGAGAGCGAAATAGAAAGAGGCTGAGAGCTAAACTCCAACTATTAACATTAAAACTTCACCAAAATCTCAAGAAACCAAGAAAAGAAAATTGATTGCATTCTAAGATCCAAAGGAAAACAACTGCACGCCAAAATTCGCACAACCGAAATTAACATCCAATAGAAAGGCGCGTGAAGAGAAGAACTTACTTGTTTTACTGCCAGAAGCTCCCCAGAATCAAGATTCATGCCCATGTAAACTCGACCAAAGGCACCGCATCCGATCAACTCGCCCTTGCGCCATCGGATCATAGGCGAAGATTCCTTGGTAATGGGTGGCAATGGCGGAGACGCCGGAGAAGGTTTAGAGAAGACTCTGGACTTGCGGATGCAATAATTGATCTTATCAACTAGGGTTCCACCAAGTGAGGCTTCTTCGTTCTCCGGCGAAGTACGAAATACCAGTGATCGGCGAACTGATCCGAAGATGTCTTGCATTTGCATTGGTGTGTTGTCTACTGTCTAGAATGAGAGTAGCGTGGAACCATATATTGCGTCGGCCAAAAACAGAGGGGGGAGGTGTCAGCGGGGGGAAAAGGGGTCGGGGATCTCACTTTTCAAAAATCGGGGCCTAATGATCCAATTACTTGAACTTTCGGGGGCCTTTTGTTAATTGTACAACTAAGTCATTGTTCTCTGCTTGCAAACCGTAACACAGCTCTTTGTTTAAAAATTAAACTCATCACTCTCAACATCAATATAACAATATCGAGGGGAGAGGAAGGAATATTATGTTTTAACTTTTAAGCTACATATAATACTATTCTAATACCCAATACTCCGATCAATATCAATATATCATTGTATAATATGCAATTCTTGACAAGTCGAATGACTTGTGAGTATGAATTGTGTCACTTGTCTCATTCCATTTAATCTACAGAAAGATTTTTTTTCCCCATAAAATTGAGAGATCACTGCTCAAAAGCTTACAAAAATTCATACAAATAACAAAGCTCACCCTTGGCAATGTTAATGTAAAATATAATATAAAATATATAGTGTAACGCGCAATCACAAAACAGGAGGGCACGTGCGAAGGTTCATAATTTTATTTTTTGGATATTGATAAATTGTTAAAAACAAAAACAAAACTCAAGAAGCCAACACGTCTGACGTCTCCATGTTTAATAACTTACGGATATGGCTAGTGTTTCTATATTTTGTATTGATATATTGATGCCTTCATCTTTTATTTTATTTTATTTTATTTTTTATTGCTGTAAAGACGATGAAATCAACATCTTTAATGTATCCCGGACTTCCTGGAAGCAAGAAAATCATTTCACAAAGGAGGCTTAAATTAAAGGAGGAAAGAAAAAGAGCGGAAAGTCCCCCTTTGACGAATTGTTCTTGGCCCCAAGTTTCTTCATATTTGAATCACAAGTCTTACGTCTTGAATGGATGGCCTCCGCTTCTACTGCAAAATAAAACAAAAAACTTGTGCCAATCAAACTTACTGATGTAACAACAATCATATTTCATGATAGATTTTGGGTATTTATAACACTATCATTATGTTTTGCAACGAGCAAAATAAAATTGGAAGAATGACAAGTAAAAACCTTTTTAACAAATTAATATCAAATTAAAAATTTTAATACTGAAACATAAGAGAAGGGGTATTGAATTTAATAATGTTAGAGTTTAACAAATTTTTATTTGACATTAATCTTCTTATGGATCCTTAGGACAGTTTGTGCACCATTCAGCTTGATAATCACTTGTATATGATCAGTTTTGTCTTCTTTATCGTTTTCAATTTGTTTCCAGTAAACAATATTTCAAACTTTCTTATAAGAGCAAATAGCCCTGTTTAGTTTTGCTTGACACATTTGATATTTCAAAACCATTACGTCCGTTCATTTCTAAACTTTCCGGGATCATATCTACTTGATCATGTATGAATTTCCATGAATCACGAATAGAAGTTTTAGCAATCACAATGAGCATGCTAATCGTGGTTTCATCCGGTTTCTATTCTAGCAAATCAAGTGTAAAATAACGATTAAAAGCCCTGTTTTGAAATAAATAAGCAATTTAATTGCATATAAATTGCAATAATAAACAATAATTTAATATAAATACCACTTCTATCTGAGGAATACAGCACAAGAGAATGTGAAAGACAAAGTCAGATCTTGTCAACGACCACAGGCCGAGTGTTGTTCCAAAGCCATTGGCGAGCAGAACCATCCAGCAACGGTGACACCTGTCATGCAGGACATAAATTCAGTTACAACATGATCCGATGTTTAATGTTGGGGTCAAAAAGAAGAAATGCTTTTTGGAAGGGGGTGGGGATGTTTTATCTCCCCCCCCCCCCCCTTTTTTTATGTACACGTTGTGAGGGAGAGAAACAAAGCATGACCACGGATCGAAATCGTTAAGAATCTATTTCTATTATTCTAAAAAGCTTAATTACAGTTAGTTCAAATTCAGATAAACTAGACCAAAGTAATAGCATGTAAGTTCTAAAAGTGTATTTTGAAGAAATTTCTCATTTTTAAATTTTAAAGAAAAAACCGTGAACATGGAGACCGACTACAAGGCTTGTTAAACTTAAATGTGACAGTCGGTGACACGTCTAGAAGAGGCAGTTAAAATACCTTTTCCCAGACCTGCAAGTGGTAGCTGTTAAGCCAATCAACCTCTGCAGCTGATAGCAGAGATAGGTCAACCAACTTAATCTGCAAAATGTTACCGGGTTAGTCACAAGTGTACGGAACAATATGTCACTCATAAAAAAGCCAAAAAGGAAAAAAAAAAGAAAAAAGAAAAAAGAAAAGAAAAGACACTTGAATAAAAGGGAAAGGAAAGAAACTGAAATTAACTTGAAAGCAACACTTCAGGAAGTAGAGACTAAAAATGTACACTAAAAAGAGCAAAACAAAATAGACAAACAGCCTGCCTACCTGAATGGGTACATATGTGAGTTTCTCAAATCCTAGGTACTGAATCCCTCCGTAACGGTTTGGCGTCTCCATGTCTATCACATAGAGGAGATTCTGCAAGCTAAAAGAACCTCATCACTACCCAAGAAAAGTAAGCAGAATACAACAGCCTCAGAGTTCAGTCATGTTATTTTAACAGTTCAACAGAGAAAAACAGGGGAAACAAATAGACAACAAAATGTACACATTTGGTACAGGCAAGAGGGCATCATAGTTTTCTGCTGTTTACTGGTGCTAAAAATATTAAACAAGATGGAAGTCTTACATCGAGTAACAACTAAGTTCATTCACTGCAAGCCTCTTATGACACTCGTGCAAGGTGTAAAATCCACGTTTGACCCTACCCTCTGATTACCGTTTAAGAAATCTTGAAAACACCAATCAAGCTTTCACGGATTTCAATGACTTTCACTCTCATATCTGATACCTACTTAATTATTCTCATACTTCAAACTTTTTGCAATTGATGACCCTTAGCCAATCAACATGTATACAATGTCTAACATAAGCAACCACATAAGACAATTAATCCAATGAAAATCTTGGAGCTGAAAAGAGGCCAGGAGGATATAACCTCAATCCGTATTCCAAAGGAATGGTCTTCATAATAGCCGGGCTCATTGCTAACAACCATGCCTTCCTGTAAAGAGGTCAAATTTCCATAACGATAACTGATACTTTGTGGGCCCTCATGAACATTCAACGCAGCACCCACACCATGCCCAGTACCTAAATAAACAATAATTAAGCACAAAAGTCAATGAATTATTACATCAATTTGGCTTTTTTTTTGGGGGGGGGGGATAGTTCTCCCCTTGAAGTCAGAATATACCATGCCTGTAGTCAAGTCCAATTTTCCAAAGAAATGAACGGGCAAATGCATCCAGCACAAAGCCAGGGGTATTTTCAGGGAATACTGACAAATCAAGAGCTATATGGCCCTGCAATTAGACATTATCATAAGAACAAAACAGAGCCTTAGGAAGCCCCCATTTCCCATTCAAAGTTAACTTTTCAACTTTTGCCATTATATGTGTACTTGATTGATTAAAAAAAGCACGCCCTCTCACAACTGACACGTTAACCAAGATAATGTGAATGGTAATGTGAACTTTTTAGGTCAAAATGCTCAAATAAACTCAAGCAAGACACGCAAGCCATAAACAATGGTACCTGTAATACTCGCGTGAAGCATTCTCTTTCTCTTGCTCTAGGTTTGCCAAAATGAACTGTTCGTGTTACATCAGTTGTGCCATCAACATATTGAGCTCCGCTGTCCAGTAAGAATAATTTACTGGCATCCACAATACTACAACTTTCAGGTTCTGGTTTGTAATGTATGACAGCACCATTTGCACCAGAGGCTGGGGAATAATAAAATTGTGACCATTAAGATCTAGAAAGGCATATCACAATTGCACAGGAAATAAACAAATTACTGCTCACTGCCATGAGGAGCCAAAATAAAAGTTGGTTTTATTTGTATATTAGATCTCACAAGAAGCGCATGTAAAAATAATAAAGGACACCATTCAAGCCTGCTTGATTCAGTCAGAGAAATAGTGGGTGTAGGACCTTTATACCATTCTAACAAGCATCAAGAAAGGGGGGGAAAAATGAGAGGAAGCTGTTGATATACCGCTTATGGTCTCAAAGCTTGTATCCAAGAAACCAGCTTGTTTTGAGCGAAACTCAAGAAGTTTGTCAGAAACCTCTATTTCCGTTAATGTCCTATCCTTAGTAATTTCTTTCTCTAGCCAGTCCCAGAACTCAGCAAGGGCAGCAGCGTCCCTGGACACAATAATAGCCCAATTAGTTACAGGATCAATATCATTGTGTTTGTAAATTTTTTGCATTAAAGCTTCACAAACAATCGGCAGTATCCAACAGAGAATAGCTTAAATAAATGTAATACCAAATTACTCTTTGGGTCCTCAGATACATAAATTTTCTGTGTTGAACCTTAAAATTGAATATTCCAATTTATAATGTTCATTCTGCACTTCCTAAATGCTTAAAATCAGATACTGATTTGTGTTGGAAGACAAAAGTGAAGGAAATTGAAACAATTAAGGATTTGATTTGGAAAAAACATGGAAATCAAAATGGTTAATGCACCCTTTAAGTCAATGTGTATTACAAAACTAATTATCAGAAGATCATCCGAGCATGGAAACCAAACATCAATGCTGACTTCAGCATGGTTAATATATATGGTAACCTCAAATGACAGTTCCTCATCCCTTCCAACTCTGATTCATTTTTTATGGCCTTTGCCAGAGATACAGGGGAGAATTTGCGCACTGCAGTGGGTCCATTCATGTTCCCACTGGATCCATCAATCCTCGCCTTCTGTTTAGTCCCTTGGATATGATAATATTTATCACAAGCAGCTTTGTAGGCATTTACAATAGCAGCATTAACAGATGAAGTATCCAACCAAAGGGAAACGCCTTTTGCCGCCAAACTGAAAAAGAAAAACATGCTACATCTGAATGTGATATACATTTGGAAGCCACTCAGGACCATTTACAAAAAATCTGCTAGATATTTCAATTTAAAGATGCAAAAACCACAGCTTTCTCAGATAATTGAACTCCCAAAAATTACCTTTCAATTTCAGATAGAATAGAATCATATTTCCTCAACTCTATGCCAGCCTTCTTCAAGTGATCACTCACCTCTTCAGTGACTTTTGAATCATCTATAAATAGTTTCGCTCTGTCATTCTCCACAATCAAATATGCATACATGACAGGTGAATGTGGAACATCACTTCCTCTCTGTAAAATATGACATCAAAAATTACTCTTATTGGTTAAAACAAAGAGAACAAATAAGGAAAATAATTTGGTGCATAAAATGAAATGGAAGGGACAAAAATTTTGTAGTTTTAAAATATCCTCTGTGCCCTAAAAAAAAAATAAAAAAAGAGCCCCAC